CGCACGCACACACACATACACACACACACATACACACACACACACACGCACATACACACACACACACACACACACACACACACACACACACACACACACACACACACACACACACACATCGAGAGTTAGGAGGCTTACTTTAAAACTGTATTAAGTTACAATTACTAGTTACCTGTTCAAAAAAAGGTGATCTAATCTTAGTACAAAATAATTAAAGTAGTGTAATTATTATTACTTCCTGTTACTTTTGGATCACCTTAATATCAAATGCAATGCAAATAATTAGAGATAAAGAAAAGACAGAAAAAGAAATATCAATACTTATGTGTATTATGTAAGAAAACATAAAAATGTCCCTTTAGGAAATAAGAAACCAAGATATTTAGTATCAAATTTGTGTCGTCAGTGTTTTGTTTTTAGGGAAAGCTGCCTTTCACTAAGCAAACTCAGGCAGTGGATCAACACTGAAACACCGGACCACATATTACAGTTTAAAATAACATTTAGGAAACAACAATTGTTCAGTTTTAGTTGAATAAAATACAGAACATACGGGTTCACACTGAATGTGTCTGATCTCACTTGCAGGTGATTGTGTACGACCATGGTCAGGTGATCGAAGACCCCTCACTCATTGGCAGGGTGGGTTTTACAGGTAAGACCACTGAAAACCTCTCTTATCTGAATTGTGATGTTTGTGTTTTCACAAGGATAATACTCAAAATACTTATTTGGATTTTCACATGTTCATTTGAAATGTTTTAAGGATTCATAAAAACATTTAAGACATGATACAAATCTGACCGACTGCAGGTATCCCGTGGAGTGCAGACATCTCCCTGAATGACACCCTGATATCAGATGCTGGTATTTACCGCTGCATGGTCAACAACCCTCCAGAGACGGCAGATCCCGGCATCGGAGAGCTGGAGCTCAGCGTGCTGGGTGAGTGAGTCACAAACCCTCCAGTTAAAAGGCACATCTTTTTAGATTAGCTTTTTATTAGCAACCCCCACTTTAAATGTTCTGTTAGTCTTTATTATTTAACATAACATGTTATATGTTGCTGCATGTACAGGTCTGTAAAGTTCTTAACAAATAATCAGAGGGGAATTTCTTGTGGTTTATTTTTAACTTGTGATGTTTCATTTTGTAAAGCACTTTGAGCTGCATGTGTGTATGAAAAGTGCTATATAAATAAAGCTTTATTATTATTATTATATATTAGAAGAAAACACCACTTTTTTATGTACGTATTTTTTAAATTTGGATTTCCTATTGAGTATTTGTTATATTTGCATATCTGCCATTACCATTGAGGCTAAACAGGTCCACAAGCAAGTCGTTTTTAGTCGTGCTAGCAGCGTGGATCATTTCTCCACCACCGCCTGGACTGAAATACAATGTATTATAAAAATATAATTCCTCTTCCAACATTATGATTGATTGCCATGACATTTCGTACCCACATTCACGGTCTCCAGAGGATGAGTCCTAATAACTTTGGTGATTTGTTGACTCTAATAAAACCCATGGATTGTATATACAGTATAAAAAAAGTTGATGCAATGGGTTGGATGTTTTTCTCCTGGTTATCACTTCTCTAGTGTGCTTGATCTACTTACATATTCCTTTAATCAAATGCTTTGGTTTAAATACCTGCAAAACCTGAAATGTCTGTTAAGGTCATTCTCACAGCAAAGCATTGAAACACTGAACTCACATCTATCTGTAAGCGTTTCACTGTATCTCATACTTTGAAACTCATGTACTGATGTGTGTTGAAGCGCCCCCCTCGCTGCCTGTGTGCCAGTGGGACGGAGACATTGATGTGGGAGGAAGTGTCACGCTGTCCTGCTCCGTGGCCGAGGGCATCCCCACCCCAGAGATCCGCTGGGACAAACTGAATCCAGAGGAGATCGCACTACCCATCAACATGGACGGTCAGTAACACACACACACACACACACACACACACACACACACACACACACACACACACACACACACACACACACACACACACACACACACACACACACACACACACACACACACACACACACACACACACACACACACACACACACACAGGCAAGAGACCCATCATCATCACCTTGGAGGTCATTATTTTAATTTGACAGGATATTCAAGATCCCAAAGATAGCAAACACGGTATTCAGGGAATTCAATATACAATGGAATATTGCACGTGAGAACTCACAAGAGACTTTATTAGAAGAAGTATGGTTAAACTTTTTTTTTTAAATATGGAAAAGCTTGATTCTACATTTGATAATCCTCTGCTCTCCTGCACAAACACTTACAGCTTGGTCTGATAGCATACAAGTTGTAAAAAAAGATATAAATAGAAAATGTCAAAAGTAGATTACTGGCCCATAATATATTCTAATGTGTGTTACAAGTCTTCCAAAAAAAGTGAACTCAAGATCAACATGGGACTCCAGTACTTCAGCCCTGTTACAGCGTATTTGATTGACCTCCCGTGTCTAAAAGGTCAACATCTTTCAGACCATGCATCTCCAATTTCAATCACAGGACTTTAAAACATTGTTTTCAAGTCTCAAGCCAAGATAACCCCACTATGACATTATCAGGGTTATTTTACGAACACCTGTCAAAAATGGCTGAGAATAATCCAACTTTATGTTCAATTGCTGAACAGTTCCTTTGAGCTTGTGATGTGTAATCATTCACACCCTCTGCTGGATCACAACACTCCAGTTCTAAGGTTTTAATACTGTCTTCTTGTCAAAGAATTTACAAAGTGCTGCTGCTGGTTTATAAAGCACTGAATGGTTCAGAGCCAACACACATTTCTGATCTCCTGCTACATCCAGAACTCTCAGGTCTTCTGGGACGGGTCTGCTTTCTGACCCAGAGTCTGAACCAAACATGGAGAAGCAGCGTTCACTTATTATGCTCCAAACATCTGGAACTTTGAAACCTGATTTGTTACCGTCTTATTCTATTTGAGTTTGTTTTATATTATACTCCAGGCTTTTTGATGACTGTTTAAAATGTGTTTTGTGTTTCTGTTACACTGCATCTTAATGCTTTTAAGGTTTTTATTTTGTGTGACCTACCTATAGAACATCGTTGATTACACTCATACCTTCTTTCCTCTTCTCTTGTAAGTTCAACACTATTAAATTGAATGTCTCTGTCCTCTCTCAGGAGATCTGTCCGGCTCCGTCCAGATCGTCAACGTGTCCTCTCAGACGTCCGGCCTGTATCGCTGCTCTGCCGCTAACCACCTGGGGACAGAGAACTGCTACGTCAACCTGTCCATCTACACCCGTAAGAGCCTCTCTGTTCCCCCATGATGCTCTCTGCCTGTCTCTACTGAAGCCTTCCTGTTGTCATCTTGCAATATACACATTTATGTAAATAGTTATCACCGCAATAAACCGTATTTAATTTGGTCTTAATTTACATTATTTAATTTCATATTCTGTTCACATGTATATAGACTTTTTGCACTACTTTTTATTTTTGTATTTTATTATATATGTTGTATTGTTGGAGGAGCTCAGGTCAGAAGAATGTCATTGCCATTTCTACACTGTAGCTTTGAGCGTATGACAATAAAACCTTTAGATTTGGATTTGAGTGATTTGATGAGGTTCTGTCCCCGTCTTCAGCCCCGGTCAGTCCCTCGGGCGTCCTGCAGGCGGTGCTGCTGACCCTGTCCATGAGCCTGGTGCTGCTGGCGCTGATGGTGCTGGTTCTGTGGCTCCATCGGACCGGACAGGACGGGAGGTGGAGGGAGAGGAAGGAGGAGGAGGAGGAGGAGTCTTACAATGAGATACGGTACACTCCGTCCCTGATGAAGCGCTCCTTTGTTTGATTTTTCAACAACCACAGAAATTAAAGAAAGAGAGGAAATACAAATGCTGCAACTTGAACAAAGGACTCATCTGGATAATGGATTTTTTTTAACCAGTAATATAACTGTATCGACTGAAGAGCATCACATCTTTTTAAATAAACACTCCAAGTTTCGATGAAGTGTTGTATATTTTTTCAGTTATATTATAATTAATCAAGAAATGCACCTTAAAGGTGAGGTAGGTAAGTTTGAGAAACCGGCTCGAGATACACTTTTTGTTATATTCCATGGAATGCTCTTAACATCCCGATAGCAATGAATATCTTAAGTGCTTTGACAAAAAATCCATAAAGAAATGTCATCTGTGGAAGCCTTAGTACCTGTAAAAAGCATGACCAATCATTTTAGCCGGCCCGGCTAAAATGACTGGATGGCCTACCTGCCTGTCAGCCTTCCATCTGTGCACAAACTTATCTCGTGCCCTCATTGGTCATGTGCGCGTTCGTGTGTGTTGGAGGAGGGGCTCTGTAAGGAAGTGGCAGATTTTCTCCGGCTGTGTATTTTCAAATTCTAGCGATCTCGAGCTGGTTTCTCCAAAATTACCTACCCCACCTTTAAGGCAAGCCTCCATTTCACTTATGGTATCTTACACTAACCCTTATAACCATTATAAGCTCTTCCATCAAACAAACCTTTCCTTTAATTTGTCAAACCAAGTAGGACAAACCGGTTTTTATTGGATTTTTTAACTTCTATTTTATACAAATAAATTGATGACATTTCATTAGCTTCCATGTCATGTGACCAAAGACCCCCGGTCCAATGCTGCATTATTTGCAGTCACTGGGTCCATAGACATGGAATCTATTGAAATAAATCAAGACTTCTCAATTTAAAAAAGCTGTTTTTTTCATACAGATATTCTCGTAAAATACAGAAGGCACTCAAATGAAATATAAACAGGTGTGTCCTATCGCCCACATATATTGCTGCAGTGATGTGTTATTGACACAAAATAGAAAAGTGATGATGCAGTTGATTCAAATTCAGAACACAATTTAATGTAGTGTTATTGTAAGACTGGTCTTTATTATAACAACCTATCGTTATTTTCTCAAAATGCTCAATGAGGAAGACAGAATCTCAGCAGGTTATAGTGCCTAGTTTTTTATTTCCTGAAAACAAATATCGTACAATAAAACATTCTACCACAATCCAAATGAAAGTCCATCAAATAGAGAATTCACCTGCCATGTAAACCTGTGATCCTTAAAACATAAACAATTATCTTCCAAGACTTGAAACCATAATCTTTTTACAAATGACTTGTTTAGGGCTTTTCCTCCGAGTGCAACCTAGAAGGTGGATACTAACAGTGTCCATCATTTCTTCAAGGGCTCTATTATGCACATTTTCAGGTGCATATTTGTATGTTGTTCCTCTACTGTGACATGTTTACAAGCTTTAATGTTCGAAAAGGTCACCGTCTGTAGGTCTGGAGGGATCTGGAGGGATCAAAGTGATTTTAGCCTTTCAGTTTAACACACCACAGGAAAAGGGAAAACCCCCAAAATCATAATTCTTTCTGTTGAAGGCGCAGCTCCACAATTAGTCTCTTAAATCACATTACAGGTTTCGCTTCTTGTTTCGAGTTTTGGAAGAGAGCTGAGGATCACAGGAATAACTAGAGAGCAAATTCCACTTCCCAACATATCCCCATCAGGTACTCAAATATGATCCATTAATACAAAAACAACCAGCCAAATATTCTAGTAGCCACTGTCTCTAAATAAGTAAAAATAAACCAAGATATATGCATGTAATGTTTTAAGTATTGTTAGTTGGCTATTGAAACAACATGATAGCGTGGTTAGTTTATATTACACCGCTCACCAACACCTTTGCAGAGCTAACGCTATGCAGAATATGAAGTGCAGACGATACTGAGCATGCCCTTGTTTACCTGTAGAATACGCAGTTATAGAAGCAGACACATCCCTCTGCCTTTGACCCATCTCAACAGCATGTTTCCCCCCTTTAAATACTGTTTCTGTTTGAGGTAAAGTAAGCAGACCATTGCATAATAAAACTATGGAAGCAGTAACAAATGGAGCCAATTCTCCAAACTTCTATAGAAATTATAATCAAATTTTTTACAATATAGAGCCTTCCATATTTGTAGCATTTTACTGAGAAAGAAGTATCACATAACCCGACTCTGCCATTCATCCCAGCATCCTACAGGAGCTTTTATATTGCTTTAACATTTCCAGCCATCTACAAGTCTTCAATTACAATGAAATAATCTAGTGGCGTCACAGCATCAACAGATATGGTGCGTGGCGAGCAAACTGCTAAAACACAGCGACAAAGGCTTTTTCTAAATCCCTTTATCTGGCTGATAACGCAAGAAGGATTGTTGATTTGACCGGAGTAATAATTCAAATATCAGAGGACGAGAGGGAAAGCCTACAGTTTTGTCAAAAAGGCCCCAAAGCCTGAATAAAACATGCTAAATGTCCTCATGCATCCTCTAACGTCCCTGGAGACCCTCAGCCTTTGGAGACACTTTGACATGTCAGGGTTTGTGTTTATACTTCCTGATTTGTTTCTGTGTGGCAGGAGACGGAAAATCATTTACAGCCGATCCCTTTGACTCCATCGAGAGAACCACCAAATATCAGCAGTGCCATAAAAAACATGGATATTTCCATAATGATGAAATGGGCACGAATAAAAAGACCATTACATAACCATTCTTTTTTCTCTCCAATTAGTACATACTTAACACTATTATATACCATAGAAATATATAAATATTATAAAATCTTCTGCGTTACGATGACCAAGCACTGGCATGCTACTTGATTCCAACAAGCTCTATATTAGCAACTGTGTGTGGGTGAATGTGTACAAAAACAGATTTATGTGTTTTCTGCTGAGATTCAGTACTGCTCAAATTGGCTATGTGGCAAAGAGGTGAAAATAAAAACCGTGGGGGATTAATCTGAGCTTGGAACTGTGTAACAGTCATATCTGAAGCTAAGGGAGGGCAGTTTGTTTGGGATACTTCCCCTTTCACAACGTATTGTCTGTTCTGAACTCTCCCTCCGAGCTCAGCTGGGCAGAGGAGTTTCTCATCGATGTTGAAAGGCGAAGCGTTCTGCTGCGCGGGGGGGGGGGGGGGCATCACACGTTCTGGTATATGGACGCCTTGTCTTTCAGAAGGTCCAGACACAGATGACAGCTCCAGCTCCCTGAGGGACACACAGTTCAGAGAAAATCTGTGAGTGTCTCAGACGAACGTGCTTCAGAAACACAATCAGGTTTAATGCCAGGTAGGAAATAAGGTGTAAGACGGGATAAAGAAATAGAACGATTATATGGATTTACATGGATTATAAATATATAAAAATACCGTTAAAGTAAGACATAAAACAGTATATTGTATTTTAAAAGAGGTAGTGTTATACCGAAATGACTACAAACTACATCCCTGTCACTAAGGACCCTTATAGGATCCTTTGTGCCTGTAGCCATCAGGCTGCACAACAAGGGGTCAACAATGTGACACAAATACTGGACATAAAATACACATTGTTTTCACACACACACGTAAATAATATGTACACATGACCAAATATGTATATATGTTCATTTTCATTCATTTCTTATTTTATAGTTATTTACCATTTTTAATTTGTATCTTTGATTTTATCCTTAATTTAATGAATCAGTGCTGTCCCGTTTTTCAAATCTTACCCTGTTGCTGTTAAACTACTGAATTTCCCCACGGGGATTAATAAAGGTGCATCTTATCTTATCGTATTGATGCCCCTGGCTCAGTAATGACATTGTGTTGTTGCCGTGTGGTGAACTTACCCTCTGGAGGTTCAGCCATGGGGGGGTTGATGCAGTACATGTGGTAACCTCTGTCACAGTCATCACAGAACAGAAGCTGATCCTGGGAACAAAACAAGAACATTACACACATCAGACCTCAGCACTGTGTAACACACACCATAACTGAATGCAAGTAAACCCACGTCGTTCTCCGAGGTGCCGCACACGTTGCAGCACTTGCACTCGATGCACTGCCAGCGGTACGTCTTCACAGCGGCCATCATGACGGGGGTGAACTGCAGGCAGGACGGGTGGCCTGAGGGAACACGATGGTTTATTACTTTAAGGCAAAGACTGCGATTCTTTCAGCTGCATATATTTAAAGGTCCCCTATTATACTGTCTTTCATCAATATATTATAGGTCTCAGATAAATACAAAACATGTCTCTGAAGGGTTTGGCTCCAAACACCAATCAGATCATTGCAGCATCCCATAATCCCCTCTGTTTCAGCCCTGTTTCAAAAGTGCTGATTCTCTGTCTGTTACTTTAGATGAAAATAAGGAGCCCCTCCCCACGCCCCTCTGAGAGATATTTGGTTAAAAAGAACACAATGGTGCTCTAGGAGGAGACTCAGGTGATAAGGTGGGGGGGGGGGGGGGGGGGGGGGGGGTTACCTTGGTTGGTGATTGGCTAATGGTTACACAAGCCGAAAAATCGCTATGACATCATAAAGTGGCCAAAATCTGATCAGCTCATTTTCAGACAGGTTTTTATATAAATGGATCAGGACAAAAAGAGAGAGAATCTTTGTTCCTGAAACTTTCAGAGTCTCTTTACACAGAGGGGACACAAGTTGATGTAGAAGAGACATGAAGAAGAGGGGACACATGGTGATGTAGAAGAGACATGAAGAAGAGGGGACACATGTTGATGTAGAAGAGACATGAAGAAGAGGGGACACATGTTGATGTAGAAGAGACATGAAGAAGAGGGGACACGTGTTGATGTAGAAGAGACATGAAGAAGAGGGGACACGTGTTGATGTAGAAGAGACATGAAGAAGAGGGGACACATGGTGATGTAGAAGAGACATGAAGAAGAGGGGACACATCTTGATGTAGAAGAGACATGAAGAAGAGGGGACACATGGTGATGTAGAAGAGACATGAAGAAGAGGGGACACATGTTGATGTAGAAGAGACATGAAGAAGAGGGGACACATGTTGATGTAGAAGAGACATGAAGAAGAGGGGACACGTGTTGATGTAGAAGAGACATGAAGAAGAGGGGACACGTGTTGATGTAGAAGAGACATGAAGAAGAGGGGACACATGGTGATGTAGAAGAGACATGAAGAAGAGGGGACACATCTTGATGTAGAAGAGACATGAAGAAGAGGGGACACATGTTGATGTAGAAGAGACATGAAGAAGAGGGGACACATGTTGATGTAGAAGAGACATGAAGAAGAGGGGACACGTGTTGATGTAGAAGAGACATGAAGAAGAGGGGACACATGGTGATGTAGAAGAGACATGAAGAAGAGGGGACACATGTTGATGTAGAAGAGACATGAAGAAGAGGGGACACATGTTGATGTAGAAGAGACATGGAGAAGAGGGGACACATGTTGATGTAGAAGAGACATGAAGAAGAGGGGACACATGTTGATGTAGAAGAGACATGAACAAGTGGATTTTGCATGATAGGTGAGCTTTAAGGTGACTGCTACTCTTTGAGCTGCATATATTAAACGTTTTCTTCTCCACCCTCCACTCTAACGCACCTGAGCGTCCGCAGTCGGAGCAGGAAACCAGCTCCTCTGATTGGCCGGTCTTGTGGTTGGTTTTGGAGTCTCCCAGGCAGAAATCACAGTATTTATTAGGCAATGCAATACCATCTGGACCTTTCTTGGCAGCTGAGAAATAGGATGAAAGAGTGCATCAGTGTTCAGCTTCTCTAAAGTCCAGCTTTACTTTGAACCTGTCAATCTAAAAAGGAAAATCTGAACTCTCTGAACGATCTCTTACTTTTGGGATCATTGGGCAGCAGCTGAGTGGGCTCACTGATCTCCATCTCCTCCTTCTCTTCCTCACCCTCCTCCTCGGCCAGGTGGGAGTGGGCGTAGTGGTAGCTCAGGCCGGGACGGTTCTTGTAGCGCTTCCCACAGACTGCCACCAAAACCAGAAAAAAACACATGTATGAAAACAAAGAATACACGAGTTAAGTCCACGAGTCTATGCAGTACGAAGACAGTAGTGAACAGGGGGGGGGGGGGACTCAGGGGGTATTACTTCTGATCAGAAGATATTAAAAGGACAGTTGAGAGTAACATAAATACTTTCCACCATTGTATAATTCTATTGTCCAGATTGTTGTATTTTAATAGCTGTCCTTTACGATGATACACTCATTTGAGCGGCCTTTTTAGATCATTTAGTAAATGAAATAGCAACTGTTCAGAAGTAGGATATCCATAACCGTCAAAAGGTTTCATTTTACAAGGATTTTACACTTCAAATTCTATTTACAGTGTTTGGGACAGGAGGGAGGTCACATAAAAACCCAGAGAGTTTAGGTGGTATCCTACTTTATGTTCAATAAATGGATCAATAAGCAATGACATTAGAGAGAAAGGTCAAGCAGTTGAATATGAAGAACATGATCTGATGCAATGACGGCATCAGACACCACCTCCTCTTGTCTGGAACTGTGACATGTATTTAATAAAATCATTGAGATAACATCTGAGCCACTGAAAGCAACACGCATCTGCAATCATTTTCTTACTTCTTCAATTTAAGAGCAGAACTCTGCAGCGTTTAACAAATGACTCCTTGTAATGGGTCACATTAATAATCATAGCAACGTGGGGCTAACGGGAAAATATGTGTAATGTTTCAGATCTGAATTTAGTCCGATATGAATCTGTGGGGTACGAGGTGCCGGTGTGATTGCTTAAGGATTATTCTTTGACATCATGAAGGACAAAGATGCTACTGTGTGCCGCCATCATCACAGGCAGTGTGTGTGTGAGGTTTGTCAGGAGTGTGAGGGTTGTCATAAGATGACGCCCAACGACAAAGCACTTCTGCTTTCACTTCCATACTTTCTCTAATTTTCACTTCCCTTAAAGGCTCATGGCCCTTTCTTTGTACAGAGCATTTTAGTGAAGTTGCTCAAGACGCACAGTTAGTCACATGCCAAGTTATTGTGTGCATACAGACTCGATTCAAAACAAAAGGCAGCACATGGAACGTGAATGAGACTGTGCCGTGTGCAAAGGTGGAGCAGAGGAATGAAGGAACAAGGAGATTGAGATTCAGTCAAATTGAACAAACCAAAAGACACAGAGATGAAAATAAAAAGCTTCTTATCTTAATCTGTGGGGCATTCAGGTCCAGATTAAAAAAAGGGACAAATGACTTTTTGTGGGACACAGCTTATATGTTGTAAGGTGAAAGGGCCAGACTACAGTTGAGACATACATAACATGATTTTGATCACATTCATTTAACTGTGCAAAACAACACATCTAGCCGAGGAACTGAACCACACATCTACTTGGACATCAAATAAGAACAGGCAGTGAGGACAAAAGACAAGGCAGACAGGAGTAAAAGGAACGAGAGAAGTATACCTCTTTCAGAAGGTTTTGAAATATGCTTTTGTTTGATAGTGTCTGAAAGAGAGAAGAGAAGGAGAAGAGACACAGACAAGAGACTCAGAGGACTAAGATCAGAGACACTCAGAGGGTCACAGTCAGCAGCTGGAAGGGGAAAGGCTTTACAAGAACAACACATCAAGCTGTACAGATGCATAGTCTGACAACACCAACGAACTGAGGGGAACATTTCCCCCCAGAAAGTGGAGACATTTGAAAAGCCTGGCTAAGAAATCAAACTAGAAATGTTTGATATAATGACAAACAAATCAATACAGCCGAGCACAAAGTAGCTTTTCTAAATACAGTAACACCTCTTATAGTGACTATATCTGTCAAACTGATCACTATTAATCCCTCTCTTTCTACTAAGCATTCTGTTATCTGCCTGTTTCTTGTATCACACTTTGGTATATACTTATTTGTTACGTATTTATTTGTTTAAAATGTGCTCTAAAATAAACTTCAGTTACTAATCTACATCCAATTACCTGGTGATTATGAAGGATTTTCCTTTATTTCACGTGCAGATTTTGACCTGATTGGCATTAGTTAAATATATGAATTAAAATATAAAGTGATTAAACGGTAAGTGCCATTATATAAATATATACTACATTATATATAGGCCTGAAAATAAATGTTAGACTTTCAATGCCTTATAATAACAAATATAAACATATTTGTATATACACATTTTACTATATTTTTGTACGGTAAAGATTCTGTCGCAGGATTTAAGTTGATCACTGTAACCATTATTAGTGGTTTCCAATGTACCAGATTTAGCAGGAATAAGATGTACAAGAAGACAGAGGACTAAAAGAAGAGCGATTAAGAACGAGAGAAAATTTTGATTGATTAAACATCTGCAGTCTCTACTCTCCCCGTCAGGACTCACTGTCACAGGCGAATGGTTTGTCCCGGTCCTCCAGCGCCGCCGTGTCCAGCTTCTTCCTGCTCCCCCCCACTCCTCGACCCTGAGGACACCACATCATTAGAGACACGGACGGACACACGGACGCGCGCGCGCACACACACACGGGCGCACACACACACGCGCACACACACACGGGCACACACACACACACACACACACACACACACACACACACACACACACACACACACACACACACACACACACACACACACACACACACACACACACACACACACACCACACACACACACACACACACACACACACACACACACACACACACACACACCACACACACACACACACACACACACACACACACACACCATCACCACACACACACACACACACACACACCACACACACACACACACACACACACACACCACACACACACAACACACACACACACACCACACACACACACACACACACACACACACACACACACACACACACACACACACACACACACACACACACACACACACACCACACACACACACACACAACACACACACACACACACACACACACACACACACACTTTATGTACCTTCCCCTTCCCTTTGCCTCTTCTTTTAGGCGTGTCTTCCTCATAGTCTTCATCCTCCAGGTCATCCAGGAAGTCATCTGGCTCCAGGACTTTCTGTGTTGAAGCAATGAGAAAATGAGAAAATTAAACAACAGATTAAGTAGTTTATATACTGTTGAAATGACATTGTTATGCCTGATTACATTTGAAGATAACTACCCTGGCCAAAATAATATTTGAATCCTAACTTTTAAACTATTGTGTGTTTGTTATCCCCTTTCCTGCCGGATCAACCAGCAAACAATAAGATAGAAAGACGATAAAAGATTGATCTCTCTTGTCTGTGCTTCACCTTTCATTCTTAAACACAAATGGGGCGAAGCCTGCTTGCTAGTTCAGGCAGTCAACTCGAGCACCAATGATACATTAACACGTGACGCACCTCGTCCCTCTTACAACCAACCAAACACATTCTCCTAAACATGCCGCTCTATTTAAGCTGCCAGGTCTTCCTGCCTCTGCCTCGCTATGCTGCTGCTGCCACTGCTGTGTTCACTTGCTATTGCTATGTTCATGTTCCTGCTGCTGTGTTTCATGTTGCTGCTGCTCGCCTGCCCCACCACCACCCCAGCTTCCACCCCAGCTTCCACCTGTAGGCTCGGGGGATAGTTATCTAATCATCACTCAATGTTCTTTGTAAATCTGTGGAGTGATGAGGCCCGAGTCTAGACGCCAAACTCAAACTATATGCTGCTTCTAATAAACATATTAAGAAACACGTGAGTTGTCTGACTGAACTACCCTTATCCAAGCTAAATGTTCTTCATGCTGAAAATAACAACCTTTCTGATGCGCGCCGAGGGGTTCAGGCCTCCGGTGTAGTCAGACTGGTTCGAGTCCTCCTCGGACCCTCGCAGCTCGGAGGTCGCTCGTTTCTCCACGGACTCGCCCTTCAGCAGCGCCTCCAGGCTGCTGCCGTCCGCTGACAGCAGAGCGTCCTTCTTCAGTCCTACATCCACCTCTATGAATAAACGACACAAGAGTTAAAACACTAGCACACAAGCAAAACATATTAGAATCACCAGGAAGTGATTTAATATAGTAAAAGCTTTCAATAGCGCAGTCACAATATTAGAGCTTTGGTGGAAGTCAAATACATCTTAAAATGTGTTTATTGTATATTTTGTAGTTTTGGCAAATAGATTACAGTCATTTGTGTAGGAAGGTGGTGTCCAGCCATAACTGTTAGAAGTTATCCAAGAGGCGCTGGATTATTTACACAATAATATTATAAGTGTAACAATAACATGATATCAATAGTTTTTTTAATTGTCAATACCTGTATATCGCAGGATTAAACAGTGTGAAAGCTTGCAGCTATTCCTAAATGCCTGGAAAACATAGCCGTTTATAGAACTTTTTCTTAAGGTTTGACATGATTAAGTGAGGATGGGGCGAGCTGAGAGATGTGGTACCTGACTTGACGGATGGTAAGATAAGCCGGGGATCCTCTGGAGGATGAGATCGACGTTTCTTCCTCCACCTCCTGGACGGGTAGGTGTAGAGCTGCCCCGGAGCCACGCCTGAGGGACATCAGAGCACATTCATAACACTGAACCTATTCCAGTACAGAAGCTGGTCATTTTCTGGGCAAACAGAGAGTTGGTTTGGATAATTAGCATTCTCATTTGAAGCTGAGAGGAGCTGGAAGCTTGATTTAATTACACTCAATGTTTTATGTTCAATATTAAACATTTTCTCCCATCAAAACATATTGACTTTCCTTATATTCTGTATTTGTTTCTTCTTTTGGTTGGTCTGGGTTTTGATCCTTCTGTTGTTTTTAAGCTAGTTGTTAAAAGTATTTAAAACATATTAAAGAAAAAGAAGGAAGGTGAAATGAAAAAATGCAAAGAAGCCATTTTTATGCTCAGTTAAGATGAAACTCTCCATCTTAGCCATTTTTAACAACATACGTTTAAATCAAGTGAAAACAATAGCAACATTGCCCTTGTCGTTAGTAATGATTGGTTGTCGAGTAGCAGAAAAATAACTGGTATAAAAATCCAAATTATGCATCCCTACTTTCAGCCATTCAGTAAATCTCTGAAAAACACTTTGATTATTTATGTTCCTAAAAAGATCCTTCAGTTTCAACATTGGACTAAAAAAATCCAACTAAAAAAAACTAGATGTAAAATCTGCAGGGATGCGTAGAGTACATTTTGTGGCGCACTACATGTTTGCCTCACCTGGTCCTCGGTGTCTCTTCTCCATCCAGATGTAGCAGTTGCTCTGCGCCACGCCGGTCTGAGAGTCGAGGAACGGCATCCGGACGCTCCTCTCAGCGCACAGCCTGGCGTTGTAGTTGTGACATTGCTCCATGGCGTCTCTGTAGTACTGCTCCCCCATCCTAACCCCACAAACCAGGGACAGATGCTTGATATTCATAGGTAAAACACAACAATCAGTGCAGTTTTACTTCAAACTTGTGGACCTCTCTGTGTGTTTAGTTAAGCCTGTTGTCTTGTTCTGCTGTGCTGCCTTCAACCTTAGAAAAGCTGCTCACTCACAGGACTACTGTGTCTTTGTACTTCAGGCTAAATCGTTAGTGAGAGCAACAGCAGGTGCTCTTTTGTTGGTACATCAACAACAGAGAGTCTGGTAGTCAGCACAGTCACAAGGGTGCAGTGTTCTCAACATACTGTAAATATACTCAAAGAGTGCCTGGAGCCTTTACCCTTTGAGGAAAGCTAAGGGCGGCTTCTCTTTCAAGAAAGACAAACAGGCTGATGTAATAGCAGATATAAACATGTATTTATAATAGAACAACTACAATGAAAATATGAGAAAGATACAATAAAATGTATTATAACTTATAATCAGAATCGGTTTTATTACAAAGTAGGTTTACACATACGAGGATCGAAGATAAATCAGTGGAGTAAAGTAACTAAGTACATTTACTCAAGTACTGTACTTAAGTACAATTTTGAGATACTTTACATTAGTTTTTCCATTTTATGCTGCTTTGAACTTTTACTCCACTACAATTATGTTTAGCTAGCTGCACCTTTACCAGCTTTGATAACACTTTAATGCAGGAACAACTTATAATGAAAACATATTATTCTGAAATGGCTAATTTGCATAATGAGTATTTAGATTTTTGGTTTTGATGCGAACACTTTTCTACTTGTACTTGAGAAACATTTTGAATACGGTACTTTTACTTGTAACATAGTATTTCTACACTCTTGTACTTCTACTTAAGTACAATGCCTGAGTACTTCTACTTCTACTTAAGTACAAGACCTGAGTACTTCTCCCACCACTGTTTAAGGCCAGTCTTTAATTAATGTTGAAGTATTTACTCCTATAAACGCAGTTAGCGCGAGACCTACCGTTAGCTGGACTCAACTGACGATAGAGAAACACACAACAGGTAACTCTGATAGCTCTAACTGTCAAATCAAATGAGTTTTAACTAGACAGACTCGTGTGTTTCAGAAACGTCATGTCTGCTAACTAACAGGATATGAACACACACGACGCTCTGACGTTGGCTAACCTTACTAAATCAGTGGTAAATGTTGCTAAGCTAGCGACACAGTAACTATATGAACATACTGTCATGTCATAATGACAAATAGCCAGGTGTAAAGGTGTGTAAATAAGTCCGACACTTACAGTTTGACAACATTCTCAACAACAGCTGCCATCTTGCTTTAATACACGGGGAAGTGACCGCGGGGAATGTGTGCCCTCCGTCAGGACTTGTAGGAGCAGGAACACACAGCGCCACCTACTGGTAGTTTAAATAACCACATGTAGAAGAGATCACTGCGGCCTTTTTTAAATATTACAGTTATATTCAGGATTGGGGAGTAAGTTTTTCATTTAATTTCAAACCTTTATTTATCCAGGTGTATCCCTTGAGATCATTGATCTCTTTTTCAAGGGAGACCTGCTACTGTACCAGTCATTACGCCATCATCCCTGACCTCATCCTGCAGATGCATCAGAGATGTGTCCACATTCATACACCCCTACTGCAAGAACTCCCACATAAATGACATAATTGTCTTTAATGTTTAAGTTTTTTAATTATAATTTTTTATTTTCACATTTCATTTTGATATTTGATTCATTCTTTTTTTTCATATGCAGATTTCATGCCTTCAGATTCACATCTTTTCTTCCCCAGGCTATATATCGAAGCCAGCCATGGTGCCAGCAGGTTGTCCTGGTGGACCGATGCTATCACAAGCTCCAAATTAACACCACTTTAGAATACAAAAATATTGCTATAACTGAATACAAATTATATTCAACCTGAAAAACTTTGCAAATACGTGTTTTTAGTTTGAAAATGACATTGTATTTTTCAAAGTTCAGGATCAAAACATGAGCTTTCAAATGCATTTTTTTTTCTTCGAATTATCAAAACTTCTGGCCCAGATTTAGCTCACTTTCCTTATGAAAGCCCTATTCAAATTGGAATATCGCTCTTTAAATAATACCTTATACATACTGTAGATCACCTCACCTCACAGATATGGCCGGTTGGCTTCCCTTTTGCTGCTTCATGGTATTACTTGGGAGCATATTTAATTCTGCAAGGTGCTGTTGGATCGTTGACTGTATAACGTTTCTTAGTCAAATTATTTTGTACCATATTAAACTATTTTCCGAGAACAGACTAAATGAAAAACATGAATACTAATCTTCTTTGTGTGAAACAGGATGATGACAGCTATCCAGCTCTGTATATATTAGACTATGCTATGGATGGAAAATCGGCATTTAATGAGTTTGTCGACTGACCATAATCCAAATGTCCCACTTGTTCTCTCTTATGCTCATAATAAAATACAAGCTGGAATGTTTTTTATCATCAAAAACCCACAAACAATATCATGATTTTCATTAAACCATGTTTTATTATTCCTAATATTAGATGTAGATACACAATTCAACAAACATTATTTTTCGATTCATAATGAAAATGCTCCACAGCACACTGACATCGTGTGGAAGGGTCTGGTATCACAGACACGTACCTGAAAATGGACAGCAGTTATAACTTTTGCAATAATAAGTTGCATTAGTAACAGTAGTAGTAATAGTAACAACAGTAGCAATAGTGATAATAATAGCAATTAATAATAGTAGTGGTATTAACAACTCTGAATTACAGAGGAAGGAACAGACATTCGTCAAAAGTAATGAGAAATGAAGGTAGGAGGACAGGCTTATCAAATGCTGCAAGACAGACCACTGGATGAAAAAATACAAGCTCCCACTAGACAGCAAATACCCTGCCGCCTTCTAAAAAAGGAAGCTCAAATTGTCACCAGCATCATTTCACCAATATCTAATACCAAACAAGTAAAAGTGGTTGTTTTTCTTCATCAAGTACCCCATTGTTTCAACTCCTCTCTTTGACAACGACACATCACTCCCAATGTTCTGGTCAAAGCTCACCAGTAGCACAACGCTCCTTTTTTTGAACGGATGCCGTATGCAACGTGAAATCACAGCCAGCTGAGGACGTTCCCTAAACACTAGGTCGCCAGGGTCATTCTGCATTAAATATACAGCACAGGTTTAATGTGTGTGTACAGTATGTCAAGTAGGAGAAATATTTCTGCTTCACATGACCAATTTGGCCAAACTAATTTGAATTATTCACATTCAAATGAGCTGATAAGAAAATACACTGTGTGACCTTTAGTCCTTAACTGGATGCTATATCTGATGTCCAGAGCAAGGTATAGCCACTGGAAACAGCTAATCCACTTGATGCATCCATAATGACTCCTGGAGATTGTGCACAATGTACGATAACTGCGTTGGCTCACTTATGTATGCACCGACCTCACTGACTTAGCCCCAATAGAGCAGCTTAAGTTTAAGGCTGCTTACACTGGGAGCTGCGTCACACCCTAGATACAAAATCCCACTGACAGAGAGAAGGTAGTCAAGTGCTGTCAAATAGTTTCAAAGTCCATCTTTAGGTAATTTTCTGGCTTGGAGGGTGTTAGATTTAAAATATAAAATCACTGGTTCCACATTCAATTGGGACTGTTAATAAATAAGGCCAACCTGTTCAAACGGCATCCAGTTTATTTTCAGCTCAACAGTTTGGTGAGACATTCCTGTGGCCTCCAAGGCATGGCGTGTACATCCATTACCAGCTTTGAAGAGTTGCTTTCAAGGTGTGCTAAATTACAAATATTTTATAACTCGCAACCTACCTCAAATATTCCATTAAACTCCTGAATTCAGAATTGTTATCCTGTTACTTCCTGTTGCATTTTTGGCAGTTAGAAAAGGCAAATTAGAACTTGGATTGAAGTGACTTACAATAATAACACTTAACAACCAATTGATATAAAATTGTACTACCGCCTACAGTCTCACAATATACTGTAAATGCTCTTGTCATTTCAAACATGTACCCTATTTGAGGCACTATTAAACACATTTTACATTAACTATATTGCCATTATCATGTTCTGGATCAATGCAAATGCCAATTACATTTAATGTTTATCTCCAACCTTGGAAATGAAGTGATCTCACGTTTTTAAGAGTACATCAACACAGAAGAGATGGCAATGATGAGACACATACACGTATAAACCTACATGAAGTCATGCCACATATGCAAGCTCATCTAAGAGACAATTTAGGATTTTCTTCCCCTCTTTGCTGTGATTTGTGCTGTACCTTCATTTAAATCCACTGACGTACACAAGATCATTGCCACAGGGCACATTTTTAACATTCTTATCTCCGTATTATGTTAGCTTCCTTTAAGACTGTTCGAATGGAGGATGGGTTTTGTAAAAAGGGGGTCTGTGAATCTGTTGTGGGTTCAAGTAAGGCTCCTCTCTCTGTCAGGTAGCACATAAAGCATATTTGTCAGTCCAAAATCACTTCCACATCGCTCTCTTCACTTAATGAGACCTGTCCATCTGTCCTGCTCAGCTGCGTCCGCCACAGAAAATGTGCTTCAGCTTTTTTTTTTTTTATTATCTACAAACTGCCCCCATGCCTTCACACCAGTAAATTAAGAACGGAAATAGATATTAGAAGACTTAAAAAAACAGAAATAATGAAACCGTCTGGTGGAACTTCATTGGTAATGTCAGCTTACATAGAATTAAAAACCAGAAGCAAAGGAAAAGCTGATTTTATGAAATAATTCCAGTAATTATTATGTTTGTCTGCGGAGCCGAAAAGCAGCATTCATCTGGCCACGTTTGAGCAGGAATAACATTAACGTGCAAAATCCACGGCACCACAACTCACACACACACACACACTCGCACACACACACACACACACACACTAGAAAACTAATCTTATCTGCTTTGTACAGAAATAAAGAAATGTGAAAATCAAGCAGAAAAAGATCACTCAAAGGAAATCAAATACAGGCAAAATTAGAGACAAAATAAAAAATAAAACCACTTATTAAATATATATATATCATTTTCCCAATGAAACTTGTGATCACTTACTGCACACTGCTAAAATTCAATGAGCTTTATTTTTTCTCAAAACACCTCATCAACTGTCATTCCTAAAGGAAATCAATAATAATAATAATAATACATACAAGGGCAAGCCCAACATTCTCCACTAGTTTAACCAAAAGTGTTTCTCTCCACAACATGAATCAAGATTATCTACTGGAAACTTAATTACTTTGTTTTCTCAAACCAGCAATAGCAAAAGATAAATAATAATAATAATAATAACAGCAAAAATATCGGTCAGGTTAATAACATCAATACCGAGAACAGAAAAAGCGACTGATGTGATCCTTCCCAAAAAAACAGAGCGCTTAAGAGCAGAGAAATAAAACCGGTGTGCACCAGAGTGGAAAGCCACCATCCATTGTTTTATTAGCGGCTCGTCATGGAAACGGCTCAGCTAGTGAAGACTCACTGAAGAGAAACTATTCATGCTGAAGGAAGGCCGTTTTGGTGGATTGAAACTGAATCCCTGTTAATGCCAAACCCCCCGACACTGACTTAGATTTATAATCTCAGCGGGTCGGCTGAAATTGGATGAGGGCTTTCATAGTTGGGTGCAGCTTAATGTGAAATATGATTTTGGTGAACGAAAAACTAAATGACGGATAAAAAAAATTGGCGAGGGAGAGAATCAGAGAGAAGGAAAATTGAACAAAGTTCTCTGAAAGCCACGTTGAGAATCCCCCGGGGCTGATCTGAGAGCAGTTTACTCTCTGCCTGCTTCTGTTTGCTGAAATTTAGTTGTAAATGTTGTTTCCATCGATTTTTACAATACATCGAAAAAGTGTTTCTATTTTTTCTTGCCGAAGAAGCTGAACCTCTTTTCACGATCCTTGTCTTTCCCGTCTTTGTTGCGCATGGTGACTCCTCCCCCTTCTCCTGAGCTGGGGGAGATGGGGGGCATCGTCATGGCGCGGCTGAGGGCCCGCGGACCCACCGGCGAGTCACCTGACCCCGTGGGCATGGAGCTGATGATGGAGCTGATCCAGGCGCTCATCTCCGCCTTTAAACAAAAACAAATCATCATTATAAGAGAAGAGATAAGACAAGATAAGACAAGATAAGATAAGATAAGACAAGATAAGACTTTATTGATCCCAATTTGGGAAATGTTTTTGTTGCAGCAGCATAAAAAGACATGGCATTGTACAATTTAAAAAGACTAGAAATAAACAAGAAAGTAGAAAATATACATGTTGAATTTACAAATTAACAATAACAAAAACAAAATATAAAGCAAGTCATTATATATACATATAACTGAATATGAAAAAGTCAAATGTACAGTGTGATTTTAAGTCCAAGAGAAGCTATGGAGCAGAGCGTTCCCTGCCAGCCAGAGGTGATTTGTTATAGAGAGTTATTGCAGTTATTATATTGTAACGTTCCACAATAGGAGTCGGAAACAGGCCTCATGTTATTAGGTTTAATAACTCCTTTGATAGCATACAGATATAGGTTCATAGGTCACAGGTTACAGGTTCAACATCACTCAGTACTCCACTCCCTAACACACACAGCAGGGTCAACGTCACACGCCCTCCCCCCTCTGCTCCCCCAACCACAGGCCCACCGCACACCGACCAGCATTACTGTGCAGCTCTGTGATTGGCAGAGAGACGGGGGATGCTTGAGTGACCCACACAGCACCCTATACCGGGTCGCTACAATATTATACTTCACTATCATCAAACAGAGCCACAACACAACAACACGATTGTACTAAAGTAATCATTTTTAGTAGATAACTCCATTTTACTCTCACCTCATCCTTTGCTTGGAACAGGAACTCTTTTCCATCCCCGAGCCTGCTTACACAACGTTGAAGAAGTATTAGTCAGATACATCTCAGCATTTCATCACTTCTAATTTGACTTATTTAAGCAACAGTGTTACTGTATCAGGGATCCTTGTTGGGACGTTTTTCTTTGCCAAGTCTATTCTCACCTGAGCTTGAATACAAATTTCCTCTTCTTATATCCGTTGGCTACCTCACACACGGCGTCCCCGAGGCTGATGGGAACCTCTCCGTGGTAAGGAATGCCGTTGCTAGCGCTCTTTCCGTCTTTATAGAAACCGAGGCTTCCTTTTCTTAAGACACAGTACACGTTCTGCCAGGACCTGTAGGAGCAAAGAAACAGGGATTAGGAAAGTCAGTAAAAAATGCCTTTGACTTCCTTAACCCTTAGATGCATAAGTGGGTCTTTTTTGACCCAGTGAGGTGGTTTTCTTGAAGTATCTTTGTAATTACATTTTTTTTATCATTTCATATTCCAGCTATTCCTCAAAAAACATGTTTTGGATATCATGCCATTCACATTTTAAATGTACATTTTAAGAAATTGTAGTTTTTGTATTTCTACCCCAAGCTTCCATAAGTGGGTCAAAAATGACCTGCATGCATTTTCTATGAGAACCTTTGATTCTTATCACCTGTGGCTCTCAGGAATACATTCACTATAGACCACACAGACTACATCACAGGAAGATTATTTTACACAGCAAGATCTGATACCTGTCAGTATAATAATAATAATAATAATACATTATATTTTGATAGGGCTTTTCAAGGACTCAAAATCGCTTTACAATATAAGGGAAGGTTGGGGTGGGGGGTATAGGACTATCAAACTTGATCAACCGGCATGGATTGATGGGGGGTGAGCTATGAGTAGACAAGAGGAGAAGAGATGAGTTTTGAAAAGGAACTGGAATACTGTTCCTGTACTGGTCTCAGAATAGCGGAGATCTTTGCATCGATATGTTCAAAACGATTTATTTCAAAATGTAAAAAAAAATGTCTAAAATTATAAATAGTGAAAAATTAAATATAAAATATTTCTAGTGTGAACCAAAATATAATACTAAATATTATACAAGTGATTTTTCTAAACAAAATGACAAAAATGGCATAAAAAACACATTATTCTAATACGGGTCCTTTTTGACCCACTTATGGAAGAGTGTAGGGTCCAGTCACTCTAAGGGCATCTAAGGGTTAAAAAGGTAGGAACTAGGCATACACAACTTTAAAAGATACAACCAATTATACAACACCAGTTACAATAAGGTACAGACATGAGTTCTACGGTGCATCTTACAAACAAGCAATAAATCATTTAGAATTGTAAACGTTTTATGTTTGTTTTAATGCACCAACGCTCACCTGGTAGCTGCCTTTTTGCTGTGGGACTCCATCTCGTGTTTTCGACAGAGCATGCCCTCCATGGTGTCTGGATCGGACTCGGCCCCCCCCCTGCTGGGTAACGTGGCCGAGGGCTCGAGGCGAGACGACGCCAGCCCGCTGTCCCTGCCGGGTCCGTTCGACTCGGACTCTGAGCCCTGTGGGTCAAACCAGAACATGAGGAGGTGGAGGAGGAACAACACACGACTGGATGGAAGCAGCGAGCAGCAAAGCAGCCATTCACAGCCGTACATGAAGAAGCCATGACGACGCTCGCTGTGACGACGCTGTATGATTAGCTGAGATAACAGCATAGCGGGTCCACATAATCACACACTGCACTGATGCTAAACAGCACAATTACAGTACTTACATGTGGGTAAGACGTCAAATTAAAATAACCACACATGCATGCTACACTTAACAAGGATAGTTGGTAGGAAAAGCATATCCAAAAACGTAAGGAAATTACTCACAATGTACATTTAACTATTCTTAAAATAAAATGTTTCTCTTAAGTCAAATTTAAATGATCCATTAAGCACCTGGAAATGAAACTCAGACACAAATTACATGAACACTTTCAACCACAGTTCAACTCTCTAAAGCCTAAAGTCCTGCACAAAAAGCCACAGACAGTAAAATGCCATTTTAATTGATAAGTACTGTGCTATCAGCTAAGGATACTTTGTTATAGTTGTTTTTCCTAAAATAGCATTTTTTTCTACACATTACTTCACCAAAAGGACTTTCACACTCACCACAGGAAGTGCACACATATAGGGGAAGACTTAAACAAACTACATATAAATCAGCTACATATATCACCACGTTTACAACTCCGGGCTTCACATCTAAAGCCACTCTTGTCCTGGTCAGAATGAGCACATGAACAGCAGCCGACTGATCCATGAGAACAAACTGCTCATGAATCTGCGTCATGCCGTTAGACTGCAATGGGACTCGCTGATGAAACATGAATAAAAAAAGCAATGGTTTTTGCATCTGTGACAGAGAGCGATGGCTTCTCAACAGAAGAGGCACTGCAGTTGACCAGGAGCTGAGTGGGGGGGGGGGGCTACACAGCTGACCACGGCTTGGTACTCACACGCTCCGGCTGCTTTGGCTTACACACACGTTTAGGCTGAGTTTTCTGTCCCACTGACAACGATTGCGATAATGACTGCTGATAAAAACGCAATGAGAACATTGTTAAGATGTCTTGTTCTGGGTGGGTAACATCAGCATGTTGATTGGCTTCTAAAATAAGTCGTCAACAACTGTGTGGACTAACCATAAATTAGATGAAAGTCATAATACAGATATTGCTCCCTTATTAATCTTGTGACTTTACTTTCCACAAGGTGCTTATTTTCATCTGCCAGTGTAGACTTTAATAGGTTTGTGTAACATGCCCAGGTGTCTTCGTTATCCTACCCAGCTAACCCCCTCCTCAAAAGGTGTCCTGTACATTGAATCAGGACTCCTGAAGTGGTGTGTGAGTTCCTTCATCCGAGTGGCACTGATTCTTTTAAAAAAAATGCTTCTACACTAGAAACATCAACAAATACCTATTAGCAAAATGTAGCTGCTTGTCACTAAAATTAAAAATATTGGTCAATATATATTCTTTCTAGGTATTGTGCTTCGATGAACATTTATTCAACTGCATTTAAAGGCTACTGGAATAATCTAAAGTTGTTCCTTTTAATTGGATAAAAGCAATTAAAATCCTTACATGAGCAGGGAAAATGTATGGAAACAACACTGTTGAGTAGAACAGACAAAGACATACAGTAACACTATGTATTTATATTTATGAGATACTCACAGGACTCAAAATGTTGCAGTGTTTTTGTCAGTAATGTAATATGAATCAATGTAGACATAGATGAGAGTAACACCTACGTCACTTCTGGGCAAAAATTACGGCCCCGCCCACTTTTGGGGGAAAACAACGCTGTCATTTGAATGGCGGTCAATACAAATTCTGAAGTTTTTGCCAATCCGATCAGAAATGTAAGAAAACCGTGGATTTTTGGATCTTCAAAGAGCCCGATTACGACGGCCAGTCAGGCAAACAATTACATTAAATCATTTGAAATCGACGATCGGGCTCGATATATGGTTAAATTAAAATCAGTAGGCGAGGCTGTAATTTCGCCAGCTGTTACTCTCATGAGCGAGGCGGAAAATAATAGTTGTATCATGCCAACAAGCTGCTGTGTCGTTTATTGCACCTCAAACATTAAAACAAATCCAGAGTTCAGTGTTTCTGTACTTCCTCTAAGAAAAAAGGACAGTAAAAGAATAGCTCTGTGGCTTCAGGCTTGATCGACCATTCAAATGACAGCGTTGGTTTCCCCCAAAAGTGGGCGGGGCCGTAAAGTGACGTAGATGTTACTCTCATCTATGGACATCGATCGCCAACTGCTATATTTAACCATATATCGAGCCCGATCGTCGATTTCCAATAATTTAATGTAATTGTTTGCCTGTCTGGCCATCGTAATCGGGCTCTTAGAAGATCCAAAAATCCACGGTTTTCTTACATTTCTGATCGGATTGGCAAAAACTTCAGAATTTGCATTGACCGCCATTCAAATGACAGCTTTGTTTTGGGCGGAGCCGTAATTTTTGCCCGGAGGTGACGCAGGTGTTACTCTCATCTATCTCATAGCATTTCACACAATGTTCCTAACACAGATTGAGTGAAGGAGTGAATATGATCCTTATACACGTGTAATAATGTAGAATATGAAGGAATGTAATTACATGGCGACCACTAACAGTTAGATTAGAAACCTGGTAAAGAAAATGTACGCCGTTAGGTAACACCACAGAACAGTATCTGGACACCAACACTAACCTGTGAGGTGTCGTTGTCGCTGTGCACTCCATTCACCGACACCGTCTGATTGAGTGTGGTCTGGTCCAGACTGGTTCTGCGTTTGAGAGGAAGGGAGAGCATGTTAATAAAGACATTTCTGTTAAAAGAAGTACAAACAAACCCTGTTCTGCTCTACCGGAGCTGTCCTCTGGTTACCTGGCTGCAGAATCATGTGCTTGACTTTCTGCCTCAGTTTGTGCCACTTCTGCAGGGGGGGGTGTAGGGGGTCGCCGCGCTCGCTCCTCCTCCTCTCGCCTCCTCTGAACCTCATGCTCCTCGAGCTGGAAAACAAAATGTATTTACAGTCAGTTTTATTCATTTTTTAAACCAGGCAATATTATATTACTTGTGTTTTTGTTATCGTTATTCATATTACTGTATGCTTATTTTCACAACAGTTTACTAATATACCTAATTACTCATAACCCTGGAAGTCAGGATTTGATCTAAACTTAACATTTAAGGAGTGAGGTAAGATCAATGCCTAGATTAATAGGGTTTTTACCGTGGTGAGTTTCTCCAGCAGCACAAAGCGGTCTTCCCAGGCTGTAGCGAGTTTCTCGAAGGCCTCATGGCGCTTTATGAGGCTCTCGACCTCGTCCACGTTAGAGCCCAGCTCTGCTGCTCGCACCAGAGGTTCTTGCCCTGCCAGCCATGACTCTGCCACATAGGCATCGCGACCAAACTGCAACACCTCCAGCACTGAGATGGGATAAGGGGAGTGAAAGACAGAGTGAAAACAAAAACAAATAATGAGACGCTAAGAAATACAGTTTACCAGCATCTATTAGTAGTGAGTTGCGTACACAATAGGGACCTTTCAGACCAACAATATCTTTAGGGGACAACACACATGCTTCATGTACTTCAGGAAGATCCCTGCATTGGTGCCAGGCACAAAATGTAATAATGAAAAACCTTTTCAAACGATAAAGTAGTGTTACACCATTTTCTAATATTAGAGGTATAGAGAGGCGAAGTCACGCCCATCTACTTCCGACCCATGGGACCTTATTTTGGAAAAATTATGTATTGTAGTCGATGGAGAGAGAAAACGTATCTCCGTAAAGGATGTCATAACCGGTGTGATCATTCTATAATACACCGTTTAAGCCCGGATGCCCCCGGGGGAGACATGCTAACGCTAACACTACATTAGCATCGGCAATCTTTTCTACTTCATGCTATCTGCACAAATGGTTAACATTGAACATTCAAAAGATCAGGCAGTTCAGGGAGAATCGAAGCAAGGCAGGCAGCTTTGCATGACATTCTTCTGGACGCGTTTCATTGTGGTGATAGTGAGGGTAGTCAATCCCTTGTTTGGCAAGACAGTAGTGACGGCCAACTTGGTGACGTGTGTTGTTGTGCGAGACCAGAGATGTAGTTCATTGAGTGGTTTCATACAAGAAAAGTGTTACTTCACAGTTTTACGACACATTTGTATTTTTTTTACTTGCAAAATTATCTTTTAAATTGACAAACATCATATGTGTAATTCGTGGCACAATTCAAACGGGATCGAAAGATAACTTTTCTCTCGCCATTGACTTCAATACATAATTTTTCTGAAATAAGGTCCCATGGAGGTCCACCGGAAGGGGAGGGACTTCGCCTCTCTATAGCAAAATACGCTGCTAGGAAGAAGGGACAATAATCCATCTTATTTGCATTGATCTGCTAGTCATCATTTCAGGGATAAACTACACAGAAAGAGTCCTGGCTCTACCTTGGCAATAGTGCAATTACCGGTAGTACCAATAAAAAAGGTGCTTGCACACATGACTTGTAGAATACCACGTAGTGTGTAACTCGAAGTCTTGACGGCGGAAATGTCACATCTGCAGCAACAATCTATCTTGGTAATATTTGTAACATAACATAAAAAGACACAACTGTTTGTATTTTATCTGCTACCTTTACCTTGTAGCAATCTCAAGTGTCCCTCATGTTTTTTTTGCAATGGCACTATTACATTGAATGTGCCCTTTTACAGACTATAAAACATCTTAAGGATGCATACCAATTTGTAAATGGTCCATCTTGTCTTGCCAGTTTCTGTTGATCCTTTCTCTCTTTTCTTGCAGTTGAGCCAGTTTCTCCCGGATCTATAAATCAAAGAAATTACAGTCAGGAAAGGAATCATGAAAACATTAAGTAATCACCCCAAAATGAAACACTAAGTGTGTTCCCATTTCCCTTAGAGTGGTTTATTCTGAATATGCATTAAAATGACTGCAGATTACATTGAGAATGTCCCGCTGCACAGTACCTCATCAGATGCATAGTGATTATTGTTGATGAGAGATTTTCCCAAATCAACGCAGGCGGTGAAGCTGTCAGCCCTGGTCTCAATCTCTGACTTGATATCCTGATGATTGGCAATGACCAGCCCTGCAGAGGACACGTCCCTACGACAAAAGAAAGGAGAAGGAGATGACATCTAAACATATTTGTCATAATACAGCATTTAGAGATGCACTGATTGATCAACCCCATCATGAAGTGAGCCATAAAGGAACAACTTCAAAGGAAAACTTTGACTCTTTTCAACCTGCTTTGTATCGTTGCAATGTTGGTGGTATGATGATATGAACAATGTTTCTCTCCACTTTGTGTTACCAGCTCCCGGAGTGTTTTGGATGACATGAAGCGAGCGTCATTAACCCCTACGTCAACCGTACAAAGCATTACAAAACATTTGGAAGTACTGTGTTGTTAGACCGGTTGCACTTGTTTCTTCGATGATAGTAAAACATGCCAGATGAAGTGCATTATAAAACGGACAAGTCAAATCAAGCAATCTGATTGGTTCTTAGCCGTGATATAATGAGCGTATATCACGGGTAGAATTGTAGTTACTTTTCACAACAAGTCAGTATCCCTCCGCGTCTGAGAAAAGCTACAACCGTTACAACTGTTACATTACGTCCGTTACGAAACTAACTAACTAACAAAGCTTAAGATGGAAACATGTAAGGGATAATGTGCAGCAAGGACTTATTGACCGTTGTTAAGGACGCTCACATCTGCAGAAAGAAGTCCGGTCGATTTATCTGTATACAGTTTGGCTGAAAAGCAAACTGCATGCTTCACGTCGGGCCGAACCACGCCCCTTAACTGTGATATAATGGCCATATACCACGGCCTGTCGTGAGCTATTGCTTAAATATATTGCAATTCATTTTCAGTTGGATTTTGTCCAGGTTTTTTTAATAGTCAATGTTTTATTATTAAAATACAGTTAAATGTTTATTTGTCATAAAAGAATCAGCCAAGAAAATGGAGCTTGGAGCATTTCTAACAGCATTCATCACAGTATCTGGTAAATGAAGCATGAAATAACATTCACCTGGGGCTGTCATGAGCGTCTATCTGCAGGTTGACGCCGTCCATCCAGAGCATGAGGTCTCGCACCATGTTGAAGAAGCGGAACTTCTCCACAGTGTCCAGCAGGAGGAGCCTGCGGGCCTGACCGGCCTTCAGCAGAGCCTCCCAGGCAATAGACACAGCACTCTCACTCCTGTTAATGTCATCAGCTTTCTCTCCAGCGTAAGCCTTCTGTAGGCGTGCAGCGTCATCTTGCACCTGGTTCACCTACAAGGTCAAAGAGGAACAGAGGACATTGAGCTTTCTATTAACGTGTCTCTCTTGGAGTCTCACATGAGATCTCTTTACAAACAGGTTTCTGACCTGTCCGCTGAGGGCCTGGATGTCATTTTCGAACGTGTTGTGCTGCCTGTGTAGATGCTGAACGGTGTTCAGATCCCGGCCGAGGTCAGAAGGCAGACCCTCCTTCTTCTCCTTCACACGTTCGAGCACCTCCATGGCGTCCTGGTGGAAGCGGTGCAGCTCGTAGGAGGCTGCTAACATCTGTGTGCGTGTGTCGATCAGCTCCAGCAGGTCGGCCCAGGCCTCGTTCAACCCGTCCTTCCACTCGGCCACGCTGGCGTTCTCAGGGTGACCCGACTCAATCAGGTCGTCTGCCAGCTCGTTGACTCCATCTACTCGCTCCTGGCCGATGGTGCTGGTGTCACGAGCAAACTCCCGGAACTTGTCCCTCAGCATCTGCCAGGAGAAAAATCAGGGCGCAATTAATTCCGCTAAATTTCCCTGAGCATCAGTGTCTCTAAAGTATGTGATGGAGATAAAACACTCACTGTGACATGCTCATAGTCCTGTCCTAGTTCGTGGGAGCCAGCTACCACCTCCCTCTCAGCAATCCACTGCTCCAGGTCATCCACCTCCCGCTTCAGCTGGGTCAGCCGCAGCCTCTCCTGAAGACGCCCGCGACGCTCCTCAGCGAGGTCTTTCAACCCTGCATACAGTTTGTCCACTTGTGCTTGCCGTAGGGTGATCCTCTCACTGCGTAAATGAAGAAAGACAGCAAGACAGATCAGTGTTTGTACATCTTTGTGACACGCTGTCATTCCAACATTCATATCTATTTGCGCTCTCTCACCTCTCTGGGTGTTCACTGGTGACCATAAGGCGGCTGCTGTTGGCCAGCTGGTGGATTGTTTGGGCGTAGTCCTCAAGGGCCTGTTCCAGGGTCTGGTGCTTCTTGACCATCACTAGCGCTATTTGCTCATCCTGGGAAACCAATAGGAAATGATCACATTTTCTCCAGACATAAGGTTGTGAAAGAGCGTCACTTTTATTTTCCCCATCTTACCTTGGCCTTTTCCTCTGACATCATGTGCAGCTCCTGTTCTCCCATCCAGGCCTCTGCCTCCGCCGCATCAGCATAGAACTGCTGGGCGCGGTTGGCCTCTATTAGACGATCATGGCGCTTGTCTGTCTCGGCCTTCAGCTGATCCCAGAGTTCCCCCAGCTCAACCAGGCGCTCCTCAAGGGCCGACTGCCTCTCACCGTCCACCTGGCTCTGAGTCTGGCCTCGTCTCTGGATTTCATCAATACGCGGCTGGTGACCCTGGATCTCCTTCTGCAGTGTCTGATTCAGAAACAGAGAAGAAGGGCGAGTCATTTTTCTTAACCCTTAGATGCATAAGTGGGTCTTTTTTGACCCGGTGAGGTGGTTTTCTTGAAGTATCTTTGTAATTACATTTCTTTATCATTTCATATTCCAGCTATTCCTCAAAAAACATGTTTTGGATATCATGCCACTCAAATTTTTTATTTAAATTGTATACATTTTAAGAAATTGTAGTTTTTGTATTTCTACCCCAAGCTTACATAAGTGGGTCAAAAATGATTTTCTATGGGATCCTATGGGAACCTTTGATTCTTATCACCTGTGGCGGTCAGGAATACATTCACTGTAGACCACACAGACTACATCAAAGGTGACACCTCTCAGGAAGATTATTTTACACAGCAAGATCTGATACCTGTCAGTATAATAATAATAATAATAATAATACATTATATTTTTATAGGGCTTTTCAAGGACTCAAAATCGCTTTACAATATAAGGGAAGGATGGGGTGGGGGGTATAGGACTATCAAACTTGATCAACCGGCATGGATTGATGGGGGGTGGGCTACGAGTAGACAAGAGGAGAAGAGATGAGTTTTGAAAAGGGACTGGAATACTGTGAGGGTCTCAGAATAGCAGAGATCTTTGCATCAATATGCTCCAAACGTTTTTTTTCAAAATGTAAAAAAAATGTCTAAAATTATAAATAGTTAAAAATTAAATATAAAATATTTCTAGTGTGAACCAAAATATAATACTAAATATTATACAAGTGATTTTTATTAACCAAAATGACAAAAATGGCATAAAAACACATATTATTCTAATACGGGTCCTTTTTGACCCACTTATGGAAGAGTGTAGGGTCCAGTCACTCGTGCATCTAAGGGTTAAGCGTTTACTTTTCTTTTGACAAAGTAATACAAAAAAAAGCAAGTATCAGTGTACCTGGTTCTTCTTTATGAGCAGCTGTACAGTGGGCAGGTCTTTCCCATGGTCTGTGGAGTCTGCCAGGGGCATCCTCTCTTTCACCCATAGCTGAGAGAAAAACAGACAAATTAATATAACAATCGGTCCAAACAGGATGCAATACAAACACTTATTTTCTCCAAACTTCTATATTTAATTGATGCATTCAGTCAGGTAATCAGACTCACAATTTCATCTTCCAGATCTCTGTTGAACTGATGTGCTTCTTTGGAGGCGAGCAGCCGCTGTCTCCTCAGTTGGAGAGGGTCCTGAAGGTTGGAGAAGTTGTCAGTGACATGCTTTTGCTGTCCGTCTACCTCAGTGAGGCCAGCGTCCTCCTGGGACAGAGCCAGAGCCTGAGACTGGATGGACTGAACCTCCTTCTCTCTGACCTCCATCTGGTTCTCCAGCATCTACACGGGGGAAAGTAAAACAATGTTAGACAAGAAGATATGACATTTGGCAATCTCCATGTTAAGGGTTTGGCCAGGTTTCATTGCACATTGTTATAGATGGCATACATTGAGCTTTGCTAGCAGTTCAGTCTACCTGGTGCTTCTGGAGCAGGATGTTGACACTAGTCAAATCTTTGCCGTAGTCGTCGCTATGCAGCTGACCCTCAAGGTTTTTCAGCCAGACGTCCAGAGAAGAGCAGCTCTGTGTGAAGAGCTCTGCCCGGTTAGCATCGAACAGGCACTGGGCCTTGGTGCGGGTGGTGGCCTCAAGCTCCTCCCACTGCCGCTGGAGGTCCTCCAGGGTCTGCTGAACAACAGGCTTCAGCTCCGGCTTCTCTGCCACCAGCGCCTGACCTTCCTGTTGGAGGCACAAAACAAGAACAAGTTTGAATTAGCGTCAGTTTTGCTTTGATATATAATATATTATTGATATGCTATCTAGCCTTGAGGATCAGCCTACTGATCAACGCGCAGATGAATAGATTTCCAAGTGCTTTTTAACACTAGAACCGCTAACGGGTCAATTTTACCCGCAGCTGTTTTTTGATTGTATGTAACTTTTTTTCAATCAAATATTAAAGTCTCCCAGTCCGTGACTTTTCCTGAAAGTGTGTTATGTACAGTAGATAGATAGATAGATAGATAGATAGATAGATAGATAGATAGATAGATAGATAGATAGATAGATAGATAGATAGATAGATAGATAGATAGATAGATAGATAGATAGATAGATAGATAGATAGATAGATAGATAGATAGATAGATAGATAGATAGATAGATAGATAGATAGATAGATAGACAGATATAGATAGAGAGAGATAGACAGATAGATAGTTATAGATAGATAGTTATAGATAGATAGTTATAGATAGATAGATAGATAGATAGATAGATAGATAGATAGATAGATAGATAGATAGATAGATAGATAGATAGATAGATAGACAGATATAGATAGAGAGAGATAGACAGATAGATAGTGATAGATAGATAGATAGATAGATAGATAGATAGATAGATAGATAGATAGATAGATAGATAGATAGAGAGAGAGATTTGTACCTAAACAAAACACAAGTCTAACACCAAGCGTTTAAATCAGCACTGGTAGTGATATTTTATACTTCATGCTATCTGCACAAACTATATCACATGAAAAGCTGAGAGCCCACAGATTCTATTGATATAAGTGTCATCCCTGTGCGATCAAAACTCACTGTTCTACATGATAAATAAAAGAACATTGTACCTTGAAAATCAATAGCGGGTAAATTTGACCCGTTGGCGGTTTTAGGTATACAGCGACCTCTGGCGGTTCTAGTGTTAAATGACATTACACTTGATGACAATGAATATAAAAATGTCCACACCTTATCAATTTTGTCCAGCCAGTCTTTGTTTGAGGCCAGCTCAGCCATGAAGGCCTGATGTTTCTGCCACTTGCTGTGAAGATTTCTGGCCTCATCATAAGACATATCCTGTGCCGTCAGCATCTTCTCATTGATCCACAATGTGAGCTACAAACAAGAGAATAGCATAACAATTGAAATAAAAACAAACAATAGAAACAAACTCTATAGTTAGTTTTCTTGTGATTGAAAAAGCGGCAATACTAGCTAATTTTCACAATTGTGACCTGCTCCATCGAAATCAGTCGCATTGACCCGAAGACACATTTTGAGTTGTATACACTGTTGGAAAGAGGAGCCTTCCCAGCTTTCAAATGATATCAGGATAGTTGTTGTACTCAAAATATTAAGCAAAATATGTCACATTATATAATGACTGTCACCGAGTCATCATTTTGAGAAAAAGGCCTTCAAAGTTTCCTCTTCTCTGGAATCCATCGATCTGATTGATTATTAGCAAATTATCAAAATAGTCCGGAGGGAAAATATTTTGGATTGCTGGTCTGGGGGAAGCTCGCGAGTGTGTGTGTGTGTGTGTGTGTGTGTGTGTGTGTGTGTGTGTGTGTGTGTGTGTGTATACTTGTGTGTGTTTGTATATTTTTGCATTTGTGTATATTGTGTTTGTTTCCCGGGGAAAACACTCACGAGAAACACCGGCTGTTGTTATGCCTGCTGTGACGTCAAGTTACTCCGTTCTCCGCTTGTAATTATGCCGTTACAAGCTTCAAAGCTGTATTTATCATCTGAATTTGCCGAAACAAGTTTAATATTCTGAAAGCCAAGACTTTGTTTAATTGAAATCAGATGAAAACAAACTGTAACGGACCCTGCCGTGTTATCTATGATTACTATACGCCTTGCATTCATAATGTCAGCCGGAGGGAGGGGGAGCGGCGCTGCGGAACAGCAGGGTGCGAGTGAGAGCTGTCTTCTTCCCTTTACAAGCTTCAAACATGTATTTATCGTGTGATTTTGCAAATAAATGTTTCATATTCTGAAAGCCAAGGCTTTGTTTATTTAAAATCAAACAAAACACCCGAACCCCTGAAAAACTATTTTTTTTACGCAAATCCACGTTTATTTTGAGATGAGCCGTTGCGACTTCCGACTGATTTCGATAGAGCGGGTCACAATTATCACATCACATATTTATTCATAACAGTGTTTTTTTGTTTACCTCCTGTCCATCCTGTAGGAAGTGCTGCAGTTCACGGTTATCCTTAAGCTTTGTCAGCAATTCATTAGCATTCTCCTTATTCTTAAGATGCCTGGAGGAAATAAGGGGAAAGCTTAACAAACTACTCTTCAAACATGACATTCAAAAGAAATACAAAAAGACTTGGTTTTGCTCTAACCTTTCCTGGATTGAATCCACTTTTTCCTGGATCTTATCAGAGTTTGCATTACTGTCATTAATGAGGCGACGTCCAGCCTCCCCCACACCATGTATCTTTTCCTCACTGGCCTCTGTGGTGGTGAGGAAGTCCTCATGCTTCTTAATGGCCTCCTCTGCTCCCTGAAGACTGGTAGGCATCTCTGTGTGGGACAGCACATACTCCTACACACACACACAGAGGAGAACAATGTTGTTTAAAAAAAATTGAAACATGATTTTTCAGGGTATATGTAGGAATCCTGAAGTCAAATGTAATACCTTTTAAGACCTTTTTTAAGACCCTTCCCATACATTTTAAGACCTCATCGCCACTTCGAGTTCTAACCGGTTACATTGGCAACACACTTTACCTCACATTGACTATATACAGTCTTGATTGTCCTTCCTCCTTATCTTCCAACCATTTGGACGCAAACTTGCATTTCCCCATAACGATGTTGTTTAACAACCGGCGTAAACGGGCCTGCGCGCTATCAAGCAGTGAGCGCGCGATGTCCTGTTCAGATGACGTCAAATCCAACGGGATGCCATAAATAAACTACACAGAATCACACTACACACCTACGCAATGATTACATTCAGGCAAACTGTAGAGTACAACCTCTTTGGACAATTTATATACTTATTGAAAACAAGCTACAAAATGTAATGCCTTGGAAAATGCCGTTTAATACTTTTTAATAGCCTTACATTTCGCTAAATTGATTTATCAACTTTTAATACTTTTTAAGACCCCGCGGACACCCTGTTTTTATTTCAATAAAGTTTTGTGGCACAGCATTTCATTGTATGTATTTTCTCACCTGGCTGTTGAGGAAAGCCTCCGCCTGCTTTGCGTCTCTCAAGAACGTCTGGAAGTCAAAGGCTTGGGCCAAAACGCTGTGACGGTTCTCCCACATACGACGCAGCTCATGCCATCCAGTGTCCAGAGCCTGGAGCCTCTGGGCCAGGAACATGTACTGGGCATCTGTCTGACCTCGGGTGACCTCCTCACCGACATCCCTCATCTTCTCGTAGTCTTCCTTATAGTTATCCACCTCGTTCTTAATATTCTCGTGCTGGGTTAGCAAACTCTCAGCCTCCGTCACAGAGGTGGGGATGTCCTCTGAGGCCACGGCTGTCTGGGTGCGGGACAGCCAGGACTGGAAGTCATCCAGATCCCTAAGGAAGCCCTGCAGCTTGCTGGCTTCGCCCAGCGACTCCTCGCGCCGCTTCATGGTGGCGTTCAGCTCCTCCCACACCTCTTGAATCCCTGCCAGGTGCCCTTGGATCTCTCCGGCCTGATCTGGATGTTCCTCGGCCAGCTTTTCAGCTTCAATTTTCATGTCATCTAATTTGCCCTGAAATAGATAGATAGATTGATAGATTGATAGATTGAGAGAGAGATAGATAGAAAGGACATGAAAGAAATATTAAACACAGATTTTAAGATGATTTCCCCCCACCTAACACCTCAGATCTCATCCTCACTTCCATTTTTTCATTCTTTGTTGACTACTACTCATGATAGATTCATTTAATCTGTAAGAATTCACCTTTTAAAGCACTATACCACATTTGTCAAACTCAAGGCCCTTGGTGGATTTAATTTCGGCCCGCAGGATAATTTCTAATTACTATTAGATCTGGCCCGCCGGTATATTGCACGCACACCTTCACTCAATCCTGAGGATTTGCTCAGCTCAGAGCCTGACCCCAATCATTGATGAACTTGCACCCAAGATGAGATGCCAAGTATCTGGCTTGAACTAGCATCACAGAGCAGCAACCTGAGTTTCAATGGATGTTTCCTTCTGCACTTTCTTTCAGGGACAACAGGGCATGTTTGGTTTGTTCTTTGAGGGGAATAGTTTTTTTGAAGCTGTTGTTGGCCTGTGGAAAAATGTAATCATAAGAAATGACTCCGGAAAAGCTGCGGATAGAGCCATAAGAAATGAATGCAACTGATTATTTAATGTTTAATGTTGTTTTTATAGGCAATCATTTAAGCTTTGTTAGTTCCAGGTTTAATATGTGCAATAAGTTCATTTCAATACGTTTTGCAATAAACATTGAACCAGTCCGGCCCTCGACTAGTACCGATTTTAAAATGTTGTATGTGTATTTGAGTTTGACACCCCTGCACTATACTAATGAAATTTATTTTATGATGAGGACAACATACCTCGTCATAAAGCTGTAATAAAGTCTGTTATCTGATCATTTCTGTTCCCTCACCAATAAGTCACAGCATGCAACCTCTCCATACCTGAATGGCCTCCAGGTCCCTCTCCATGCCGGTGAGTTTGCGTTGCAGTGCCATCACTCCAGCCAGGTCGTTGCCCAGGCTCTGGGTGGATTCAATCACTTTGGTCTTTTCCTTCATCCATGTCTGGATCTCGTTACACTCCAAGTGGTAGTTCTGGATGTTCAGAGCCGACTCCAGGGCAACTTTCTTCTGGTCAGCCAATTTTTCAAACTCGTTCCATCTACGGACGACACCAGATGTATGATTTAGGATTCAAATGCTAACTAGAGCTCATTCAGTACAATTATATGTAAGTGAAAGGAGTGGATTAATGAGGCCTAATATGTTGGCTCTGACCTGTCGTGCAGTTGGTCTCGTGTCTGGTTGATTTGGTCTTTTTTGCAGTTTTCGGAGCTCAGCAGCTGCTCGGCCACCTGGTTCACATCAGTGACACGAGTGCCTAGGTTGTTCATCTCAGGCTCCAGTGTCTCAAATCTGCAGCCATAAATATAAGCCAAGCATCAATTCAATCATTCTGAAAACCTAATCTAATTTAGACGTTACATTTTAGTAAGGCAAGGCAAGTTTATTTATATAGCACTTTTCAGCACGCGACAATTCAAAGTGCTTTACAAAACAAATTAAAAGACTTTTTAGGAATAAATACAGTAAAAACACATTATATAATGGCATTTTACAACAGGCATTAAAAAGCAAAGATAATAAAATAAACACAACAGGTATACAATACATGTTTAAATGGCATACTGCAGTGCGAATATGAGCAGCTCAATTAAAAGCGGCAAAGAGATATGTTTTCAGTCTCGATTTAAAAATAGTAAGAGTTTCTGCAGACGTGCAGGATTTGGGCAGTTTGTTCCAGATTGTGGGAGCATAATAGCTAAACGCTGCCTCTCCATGTTTTGTTTTTACTCTCGGAACCGATAGCAGACCCGTCCCAGAAGACCTGAGGCACCTTGATGGTTCGTAATTATGTAGGAGATCAACAATATACTTTGGTCCTAAACCATGTAATGTTTTAAAAAATAGCAATAGTACTTTAAAATCAATTATTTGACCGACTGGAAGCCAATGTAAAGATCTCAGAACCGGACTGATGTGATCCACTCAGTGAGGACACGTGCAGCGGCGTTCTGAATCAGCTGCAGCTTTTTAAATGGATTTTTTTTGTCAGCCCTGTGAATACACTATTATAGATATTACAACTTCTTGTGAGAGGGAACAGGGACATTTTGTATACTTTTAGGAATAAATTAGAGCTACCAAATGTGTGTTTAAATGGTTATAGAATTTTGTCAATTAACATTTTCTTTGCAATGTCATAACACTAACTTATGTGTTTGATTTCACAAAGGAAATTATTATTATGTGTTCTGAGTTATTATTTCACACATTTCCTAGGGATAAGAACTCAGCCTGTTTCTTATAAATGTAATATTTTCTTTATAGAGTGACGCGTCCTAAAACCCGGAAGTAAACTTCTTCCGGTTCCTTCGACAAAAAAGCAATGCAATTTCTCCATAGGATTTTGGAAAATAGCTGGAAATAAGGTCTGTGGTCGACACACATTTAAGAGACGGATCACGTTTTGTTCAGCCGGATAATCTCCACATGCCTACCCTACTTTTATCATTTTCTAATCATAAATCTAGTCGCCAGAAGCAAAATGCTAACGTTATGCTATAAACGAACTACAGCAGGGTCGCTGCTTCAACGTCACGCCAACTTAAGATCCATATTCAAAAATACAGATTCTAAATTGTACAAGTTGAAGCGTTTGTTTTAACAGTTTGCAGGAGGCAGGTACTTGCTTTCAAGCAGAACACGGGGAAAAACAAACTTAGCGGGAGTGTTTACGTGTTCGGTGTAATGATGTACAACGGCCTCGACAACTTCTGTAGTCCTATTCAGCCACTTGTTAACAACCATCGTTTTTCAGACACGTTAACTCTTCAGAAATCACCAGTGGGGTCACTGCTGATGTATTTAATGTCGTAGAACAAAACGTGATCCGTCTCTTAAATGTGTGTCAACCACAGACCTTAGTTCCAGCTATTTTCCAAAATCCTATGGAGAAACTGCATTGCTTTTTGACGAAGGAACCGGAAGTGGTAAAATGCTAACTTACTTCCGGGTTTTAGGACGCGTCACTGTGGCACTCTATTAGCATTCTTCCCCTCTTTTACCCCATGACTGACCTCTGCTGCACCACCTCTAAGTCCTCTAGTTTGGTGGGGATCTCCATGCTGTGTAACCACTGCTCCTTCTCCTCCACCCACAGCTGGCAGGCACCAGCTTCACTGAACATGCGGTAGAGGGCCAGGGCGCCTTCCAGAGCCTGGCGGCGAGCTACTGACAGAGACTCCAGTTCTTCAAAGCGCTGCTCAATAGCAGGAAGGCGACCCTCCACCTACAATCAGCCACAAACAATAATTTAGTACTACAAGCAGCATGTCATCACTGAAGAAGTATGAAAAACAAAGCACACATACCTGAGGGATTGTTAGATAGGCCTCTGGCATTGCTTGGACCTGCTCATGCAGGGAGTCGATGCCGGGGCGGTGACTCTGGATCTCCTCCTCGATCTCCCTCTGCTTGCGGGCAATGGTTGTGGTGGAGAACTCATCGTGGCCCACCTCCTGACTGGACACCTGTCTAAGTGTCTCCATGATCCATACCTCCATGTCATTAGCATCTGTTTGAAACTGCTGCAGGGCCACAGCTTCCTCGAGGCTCTGCTCTCTAAGCTTGGTTGTCTAGGGAGTAGATAAAGTGAAAAGATTACAAACGCATATTTGGAATAGCTTTATTATGTATAGAGAACTGTGATAACCACGCACCTCCTCCAGATGTGCCCACTGTGCACGGATGTCTTGAATCCTCTCGGTGACCTCTGGGGCTCCAAAGTGTCCCTCCTCAACCAAAGCTTCTCCGGCAGCGATGCTGTTACTCAGGGGACCATAACGGGCTGCCATCTCATCCGTGAAGGCTTCATGTTTGCTGAGCAGGTGAAGGGCAGAGGCGAGGTCACGGCCACAGTCCCCACTCGCCAGGATCTGCTCCTGCTCTCTGATCCAGGCTGCCTCCTCTCCAATATCCCACAGAAACTGCCACAGACGGCGCGACTCCTCCAGGCAAACTTTGCGGTTTGCAGCAAGCTGACCGAGTTCTTCATAGGCTTGACCCAGCTGGTCGACCTTCTCACTAACTAGTCCCGGCTCACACGGTTTGTAGGCTGGCATTTGAAAAAGGAGAGTAATGAAATTGCGCCCAAATAGGTAAGACTTATGCTGCACGTTCTGCACAGGGAATATGTTAAAAACCTGTTTAAGGACTCACCCTGTTCATAGGAAGTGAAGCGCTGTGCAGATCCCTGGACCACCTTGATCCTCTCTGCCTGAGCGGATATGTCCGTTTCTACCAGAGTGTGTTTCTGCAGGAGGTCTAAAACATCATGCAAATGTTTGCCGCTGTCCTGAGACTGCAGACGACCCTGAAAAAGAACACAGAAGAAAGGAATATTTAGTCATTTCATCTTTAAAAGCAAAACATTTAAAGGTCCCATGACATGGCCATTTCTACTGATCATTATTCCATTGTTGAGGTATACTAAAATAGATTTATATTGTGCAATTTTCCAAACTCACATTGGTTTCTCATACAGCATCTCTGTATAGTATGTGTATTCACTCTCTGTCCTAAACGGCTTGTTGGAGCTCCCTGTGAGCCCAGTGGCCGTCTGCGAGACAGCGAGACACAGCTAAACCCAGCCCGAAACACACACACACACAGCCTGGCTGGGAGTTTGTGTGTGTGCTCAGGCTGAGTTCCGCGGTGTCTCGCTGTCTCACCGACCCCACACCAGTGAGCCAGCTCACACTGTCCCGCTCCTCGCAGCAGCGAGCCTCGCAACGTCCCGCCGAGTGTGTGTGTGTGAGAGGAAGTCGTTACTTTACGTCACTATACCCAAATACGTCACTATACCCAAGAAGTAAACAATGGAAAAAGATAAATCTCCAACGAGACGTTCTGGGGCAGCATAGACAGGTATTTTCTGTGTTAGAGTTTTACTCGCTACAGGGTGTACTTTGAGGGTTAGTGACTCTGCAGACCGTTTACATGCATAAAAAACTACATAACACACAAAGGGACGGGTAATAACCGGAAAAGCATGACATGGGACCTTTAATCCTCCAACAAAGCAGCACCAGGAATGGAGGTGTCTCCTCAAACACCATGACCATTCATTGAGATACGTCTTGTACTTGGTGATAATCTAAACGACCAAAAAAACTATTATAACAGCGGATAGAATTTCAGCAAGCTGCATCCTCAGACCATTAACCTGAACACACAGGGAGCCTGAGCCTTGGTTCTCAAACCACAGCTGAGAGAATTCCTCTATCTGAGCCATTAGAGCAGAACACCATTATATCACTACACCACACTGTGCTAAAGCCACAGTTAAAAAAATACATCATATTCTCTCTACAAGCATTCTCATTATATAGTAATGGCTGATTACAAACCAAGACATTAACAACATTCTAGTAACCACTGAAAATTACAGAAGCAATGAATCCATCCATCCAATTCTTCCTCATTAAATTAAAACACTTCTTTGTTAGTTAGTAATGATAAGAGTACCAAATAAGATATAAGCTATATTTGGTTAAAGGTGTTGAGAGGCAAGCATGTTAGTATTTTAAACAGATGCCTTATATATGGATGTTCACAATTTTAAAACAAGTAAGGGATAATGTGCAGCGAGGCGGTCATTATGGGAAAAAGAAGAACACCCGACAGCATGAAGGGTGTTCTTTTCCCCATAATGACCAAGTCGCTGCACATTATCCCGCTTATTACAAGGCCACATTCTCAACAAAGTAACGACATGACTCCCAATATGAATTGAAATGCTTTTATGGATTTAGAAAATGTTTTTATTGATTTAAAAAATAGTTGTATGTATTGATTTAAATTGACATGCATCCGCTAAGAAAAATAGTCCGTTGTTACCGTTTGAAATACGTAGCAACGGCAGGAAGGCGGAGCTTTTTGATTACAGATTTGAAAACATCGTTGCTTACTTTAAAAGTAGCACAATTCATTATGTCAAACCTTGGAAAGTATCTACAGTAGATATCCCTGCCCTAATGCCAAAGTAACTCGCAACTGAATATGTTTTGCCGTTTGATGTTTATGTCTGGACCGCTGCGTAAAAAGGAGAGTTTCTGCCCCGTTACTTCTCCGCTGTTTTCTTGTCGCTCTTGTCTTGTCAGTTCGAAAACGGCATACAGTTAAATCGACCGAACTTCTTTGTGCAGATGTGAGCGTCCTTAACAACGGTCAATAAGTGCTTGACAGCGGTCTGTACTACTGGATTAACAACGTGTCACGTGTTCTGAATTGACCAATCAGAATCGAGTATTCAACTAAGCCATGTAATAATTATTGATAAACACACACATTTTGACCAAAATGTAACCATGCAAGGAGAAAAAGACACACTCCTAGTGGTTGAAGTCTAGCCAACTTCAGTAAAGCTAATTACTGCCGTTAATGGTGCACTGATTTGCGCAGACACTAAAGCTGCCATATGTGAACAACAACTCACTTCATTGAGAGGATTAGAACATTCCTTTTTGTTGATTAAAAACAAAGCCAACAGAAAGAAGAAATGCACAGCAGGGGGTCAGTACCTTCATGTCTGCCATCCAGTCCATAATGAAGCGCATCTCTTCAAACAGTCTCTGGAGGTCACGATGGGCATTCAGCCGCTCTCTACGTGCGGCCAGAAGCTCTTTCAGGTATTCCCAGAGTCGGAGCACGTTATCCCTTCTCGCAGTCACACGCCGCACATCATGGTATCTCTCTGCTTCCAGCTCTTTGGCAACGGACTCCACAGCAGCCACGCGTTCCCAATAAGCCCCGATGTCTGTCTCGATGGCTTCGTGTTTACGGGTGGCAGCTTCCACGGCTCCCAAGTCAGTCCCAAAGTTATCCTAGTGAGAGAGATGAGTGAGCTTATCACATTAAAACTATTCAATGTATTCAGACAGAAATAAGAAAGTATCTGCAGCCATATATTTGTGTTTTTGTTGATTGAATCAAATCTAGTTTGTCTACCTGAGACACCAGCCTCTGGTTCTCACTCAGCCACGTCTCCCGCATAGCTGCTTTGCGGTCAAAACGTGCAGCGAGCATCTCCAGCTTCTCCTGGCGAATCAACTCATTCCTCAGAGCCAGCTCTCGTTCGTGTTCTGCTTTTTCCAATCGCTCCCATGCCTGCCACATGTAAATAGAAAAAGTTGGTTACATCCTGCAACTAGGAAACATATACTGCATACACGATGAGGCCAATTTGTAAAACCCAGTTTTTAGATGTTAATGATGAAAACATTCAGTCGAACATTAAAGGTCCCATGTCATGGCCATTTCTACTGATCATAATTCCATTGTTGAGGTATACTAAAATAGATTTACATTGTGCAATTTTCCAAACTCACATTGGTTTCTCATACAGCATCTCTGTATAGTATGTGTATTCACTCTCTGTCCTAAACGGCTTGTTAGAGCTCCTGCCCCCCCCCTCCCTGTGAGCCCAGTGGCCGTCTACGAGACAGCGAGACACAGCGAAACCCAGCCCGAACACACACACACACACACACACACACACCCGCAGCCTGGCTGGGAGTTTGTGTGTGTGCTCAGGCTGAGTTCCGCGGTGTCTCGCCGACCCCACACCAGTGAGCCAGCTCACAGTGTCCCGCTCCTCGCAGCAGCGAGCCTCGCAACGTCCCGCCGAGTGTGTGTGTGTGTGTGAGGAAGTCCGCAGATTGGTCCAAACGTAAAGGCTCCACGGACGTTACGTTACATCACTAAATGTACGTCACTATACCCAAGAAGTAAACAATGGAAAAAGAAAATCTCCAACGAGGCGTTCTGGGGCAGCATAGACAGGTATTTTCAGTGTTAGAGATTTACTCGCTACAGGGTGTACTTTGAGGGTTTGTGACTCTGCAGACCGTTTACATGCATAAAAAAAACTTCATAACACACAAGGGGACGCGTAATAACCAGAAAAGCATGACATGGGACCTTTAACAATTTCCCCAGAAGCATGCTTGTGTTGATTTGATGACATTATTAAACATGAGTTTCATATTTCTAGAGGGAAAACCATTTGTAACACGTTATACAGCAACCCGTACCTTATTGATGTCAGAGATGAGTTTGCCCTCTCTTGGCATGTACACTTTCTGATTGTTGGCTCTCATCTTGCTCCGAATGGTAAAAAGGAGAACCTCCAAGTTCCCTTTCTCTGTAAATCTGGGGAGACAGACACCTTGGTTTAACATTTTGGAACAACACACTTTGGATTATATTGGATAACAAGCAGATTGTCATTCATTGTGTTTATGTTAACCCAGCCTTCTGTTACTCACTTGGGGGGTTTCTCCACAGTCCGGTATGAGTTGAACGCCTGGAGCTGGTTCTGCACAGCATTCAGTGAGTTAGCTAGCTGCCGATCGTTCAGCGTCCCTATGGTCTGCTCAATCCACTGCAGCAGCTCTGAGGCAAGGGACTCATACTTGTCTACCAGCTGGTCAGCCTCAATAGCATAGTCCAGTACCTGCAACAGAGAGGGATCTGTGAATCAAGGCAACTGGTGGGCATCTTCCCATGAACTGTACATGTACCCACTGTTTTTAAACATGCATACGCTGTCTCACGGAGAGATACCGCAGGTCTTTCCTTCCTGCAGCGGTCAGACTATACAACCAGCACAGCCCCTAGTTGACCCCCCCCCCCCCCCCCACACACACCACAACACAGACTATATCACCCCTTGCTGCTAAATACTAACAAACTATGTGCAATATGTGCAATATATAAATGCCGTTAATAACTGTGTAATATATACCTGGCTGCTAAATCCTTAGAACTGTTACTGTACAAGGTGTGTATTTTGTATTTTGTGTAACTTGCTGCTGTTAAATACCAACCACCTATGTGCAATATGTGCTAGATGTGCAATATATATATAGATGCCGTTAATAACTGTGTAATATATACCTGGCTGCTAAATCCTAAGAACTGTTACAGGATGTGTATTTTTTTTAAATTATGTAACTTTTTATTATATATTTTTTATTATATCATAACTTAGTACTTTTTTTTAAATGCATGTCACATATTTAACATATGTAACATTAAGCTGTCTGTGGCTCTTTTTCCTGCTGTAACTACGCAAATTTCCCCTCCGTGGGACTAATAAAGGTATTCTGATTCTGATTCTGATACACACAGAACAAAGCAAACCTTTCCAACACGTTTGCCTTCCACTGCCAGGGCTTTCATCTTGGAGAAGTAATGGTAGTAGGTCGCCACATAGGTAATGATGGACTTTTCATCTGGCTGATCAACATTAACATCTGAAAATAAAAAAGATAGTATGATCTAGGGCTGTGCGATTATGGCAAAAATCATAGTCACGATTATTTTGGTCAATAATTGATATCACGATTATTAAAAACGATTATCCATTTACTTTGAAAACATCCATTTATTGAAAAAAAAAAAAAGAATAATCGTTTTATTTCGATTACGTTGTTTTCGTAATCGTTGCAAGCCAAAATCGTAATCGAGATTAAAATACGATTAATTGCACAGCCCTAGTATGATCCATTTGCAAGTGAAAGAACATAAACTATGATATTTTTTGTTAAATGTGAAATTAATGACAAATACCAGATTTTTTAAAGTGTTCCTTTTTTATCAGCGAAAAATAAGGTGTAGCATGATATGGTACTTCACACAGCAGGCTCTGCTTTAAAACTAATCTGCAAATCACAATGTAATTGCTGAATGACATATGACTTCATCACTTCACCTTTTAAATGTCAAGTTTTAATAAGTTGATTAGGTGCTAAAATGGAAACACCATTTGTGATGTCAGTGTAGCTGACATGTGATGCTGTGTTGTCTAAGCTATAATTAATTCCATTAATCCTGAACAGCCATCAATCTGTTCAGGCAACAGGCCCCAGTTTAGTGTCTGTGTGGACAGTGTCGTCAGTGTGACTTGTGATAGAAATGCTTCATGTTTTTGTCGAGGCTTCACCCACTCACCTTCTGGGTCCAGCAGCTTAGTGAGTCCCAAATCCTTCTCAGCCACATTGAAAGCATTCTGGAGATTGTAGTGAGCATTGGACCTCTTCAGGTTGTCAAACTCAATCACGTCAGGTCTGCAATGACCAGGGAACATTTATGGTTTTAATATTAACAGATTGTAAAGTAGGGTGCAAGCCATTTGCAATATTTCTCAGTCATTTTATTAATAAAGACAAAATACCATGTGCACTCAACTCCAATACATGTGTTTGTTTAAAGACCAGGGTGCATTAGATAAAGCATTAGATGAAAGAATAGTCACATGCATGCAAACAGGCTTTTTATTTGTGGATTAGGCGAGATGCTTCTGCCAAGTATTGCTTATTGTTGCCTGAGCCATGTTTTCATTTTGGGCCTTCTTAGGAATTAGAGGGGTGTAAAATTAGTTTGGGAGCTTATATATAATTAAACTTCATTGAATAATAATCAAGAACTGTTGTTCTCAAAATATGGGAATGAGCACAAAATCCAAAAGTTTGATTTGTACAATAATCATGGAACCTCTGGCTCTCCAGCATGTTCTTAATTCAATAAACTTAAAGTGCACCTATCATGCTATTTTTAGGCAACAGCATAGGTCTCAGATATATACAAATATATAAAAAACATGTCAATGAAGTGTTTTGCTCAAAATATCAAACAGATCATTCTAGCCATGCCTCATATCCCTCTATTTCACTTCCTGTTTCAAAAGTGCTGATTTTGTGTATAAAGCTTTAAAAAATAAAAAGATTGATTAAAAAAAAGGAGGGGGCTGAGCTCATGCGGGACCCGGCAGCTACTGTCTAAACTAAATACTGCGGTGATAAAACGCCATATCATGGATTATCAAGGATTATTTCTGAAACAGTATGGAGCTCAAAGGCTTTCTCTCTTGCCGGTTATACCACAAGGTGAGTTCCTTTTTATTTCCTGCTTCTTCACACACATGCTCTGTGCAGTACAGGTTAGCTCTGAGTGTTAGCGATGCTAATGTAAACACCGACCATGTTACGTCCAAAACAGTGGGGCATTGTTTCTGATAGCAACGTTTCTGATAGGGCCGTGGGTCCACATTTCCGAAATTACGTCATATCGGACGCAAATCTGGATCAACTCTGTTGTACCCCCGTTTTTAGAGATTTGGGTACGGAGGAAAAGAGAGAGGGTTTTATTTTCTGATGCTGCGTGAGTTCCCTGACACACCGGGGACACATATTTATGTATAAAAGACATCAAAAAGTGCATTTTGCATGATAGGTCCCCTTTAAGGAATTGTCTTACAGTTACTTTAACAATGTAAGGGAAAAAACTCTTTGCATATTGTAAATGTTTGCTTTGTTGCCTCTTGTGTAGTTTGCAAAGGAGCCTGATCATGTAAATGGCAGCGTCAAGATTTACATGAAGAGCTCATGGTTCAGTAACTCTAACGAAAGCAATGTTTGCACTCATGGTTCAAGTATCACCTCAGACATTCAATGTATTGAACAGCAGGGTGTGCAAGTGAGTAATCAAACATGGCTCCTTTTTGGAAATAAGTGGGTTATTATTTCTGTGATCTAGGTCATCTTACACCCTATTTTATCTTCAGCCTTTAAGCCATACTGCAGACGTATTGAATGATGGGAGGAGTATGAGGAGACCTAAATGGAAAAGGGGATAAAAACACCCCTGAGAAGTGTGATGCTTCTGCGACAGGTGCATTAGGCTAGGGGAGATAAAAGATGGGGGGGGAGATACCGGACACCTTTTTGATTTCCAGGATGAGTATCTGAAATCCACACTTTAAACAAAGGACCTGTTGTTATTAATTATATATAAGTGTCTGCCTAACAGGGGCCAGTTTTACTGTAGGAGCCGATAACATTGAGTACAGGAAGAAGTCAATGACCTGTGTTTGTGCACGATGGCACTGAACGCCAGACCGTCTCTCCAGCTGGTTGTGAAGTTGTGGATGTTGACATTGGGGTATCTGCAGAGGCCAGAGCAGAAGTCATCAATCATTAACTCAACACAGCACAAGTCAGTGGCCAATACAGTAGAACCAAGTAAAGCATAAATGGTCAAATATGTCTTTAACATGTTAAGAGTTTAATTTCATTTGTGTCATTGAGTTCTCTCTCTCCCTCTTCTCACCCAGCAGTTTTCATTTGGCACCAAAGCAGCAGGGCTTCTTTAGCTGACTTTCTCTCCTTGTTGTCCCCCGTCTCCACACTGATGTCCTGGATCTGTGAGCAGAGCAGAACAATATTATAACTGTAATTTATTTTCTGTTAGTATATTATAAAAACGTTCAGAAAAGGGGCCAGAAATTGACAAGCAATGACTGTGAGTTCATGAAAAGCATGAATACTGTTTTAACCTTTTAAACATTTTGTGAATTTGCCTAAGGATGGGCTTCATGCAGAGACCTGATGTCCCAAAGGCTAAATTCGCTCTTTGAAAGAGGTAAAGCTTCTTTTAAATGTTGAGAAAACCAAGGTAATGCTCTTTTCTAAAGCTAAAAAGACTCCAGAGACTGCTTTGGATATTGTGACTATGCAAGGACAAGTACTCCAAGTGGTTAGCTATTATAAATACCTTGGTATCTGGCTTGATGATTGTCTTACTTTTAAACTTCACGTCACTAATCTGCTTAAAAAGCTGAGGGTTAGATTAGGTTTCTTTTTCAGAAACAAGTCCTGTTTCTCTTTTGAAGCCAGGAAAAGGCTAGTCACTGTGACCTTTTTACCTGTGCTAGACTATGGTGATTTGATCTACATGAATGCACCTGCCCATTGCCTGGAAAGGTTAGATGCCGCCTATCACAGTGCTCTGAGATTTGTTACTAACTGTAAAGCACTTACTCATCACTGTACCCTGTATGCCAAGGCAGGTCTGCCTTCACTTACTGTTCGGAGGCTCAGTCATTGGTACATGTTCATCTACAAAGCCATGCTGGGTAAACTACCTTCTTATATCTGCTCTTTGATCTCACAGAGAGTGGCAAGTAGCTATTGCCTGAGATCACAGGATGTGTTTTATTACATGTGCCAAGTGCTAGGACTGTTTTAGGTGCTAAAGCTTTTATGTGCGCTGCTCCTCTGGCTTGGAACACTATGCAAAAAATATTGAAACTCAGCATTTTGATTCCCCTGCATCATTTTAAAGCACGACTGGATGAAATATTATTGGATACCTGTAAATGTAAATAGATGCTAATGTATACCCCTGTAATTATGTTGTGATGTCCTTTTTGTTTTCTGTTTGTTTTTATATGTGTAACTCAATGTACCGCAGGTCTCCCTTGTAAAAGAGATCGTTGATCACAATGGGATTTTTAACCTGGATAAATAAAGGCTACAAACAAACAAACAAAGCAATCTGGCACGCGCTCCACTTAATATGCTTTATATGTTACCTGGAAGCGAAGGATGATTGTCCAGATGAGACCCAGCGTGAGACGGTGATTACCATCCACAATGTCATGTGAGCCCATGTTTTCTAGATGGACTTTTTGCTCCTTGAGAAACTGCAGGGCTTTATCAACATTCTCCAGGCAGTGGATACGCATGCGGCCCTTTGTGGGCTTTGGCTGTGGGGAGCAGAAGAAAAACAAAGAAGACAAATGTTAGAAATATAGACGAAAAGGGATCCAAACATACATTAGGACATCAGCAATTTCAAAAGAGAAGAACAAGTAGAAACAGGGGGAGAAGTAAATCACACTAAAAGAAAGAAGAACTGGAGCGCATGATTTCTCCTTCCTCGTGGTGCTGTCTGAGGGTCATGGCCCCTCAGGGCTTGGGTCAGGGTTAGGACAGAGAGGGGGGGGGGGGGGGGGGGTTTCTGTGTGTCTGTGAGATACTGACCAGCTGTTCTCCAGAGAGCACTTCCAGAAGGCGGATGAGCATGCGGCCATCGCGCAGGTCGGTGTACAAGTCCCCGATGCGACTGGTCACCCGGCCCAAGTGAGAGTTTACCCATTTGGTGAAGGTCTTCTTCTGCACTGCTTCACGCTCATCTGCAAAGGAAACAACAGGGAGTGAGAAATGCTGAAGTTACAATACACAAACACTAAAACTGACTGATAACTGAGACGCCACTGGCTTGAGTATCATTGTTGTTAGAAATAAATATTAACAAGGATTACACTTTTGCTTTAAACAAACACCAACACAGTCAATAACCAAGATTAGTCCTGAGCGGGAAATCATAAGGACTTCAGCCTGTGTCGTGAGTAGTTCATTTTACAGATAAGCTGTACCATTAAGTCTCTGGGATCACTACATTGACAGCTTAGTGAGAGGTTTTCACTCCTTAGACCAATGTTTACTGATGGCTCTGCTCATGTGTGCTATGCTAATTACCCTGATTATGTGCGTTTAGATGATAAAAGTGACAATGCTAAATTGTCCGAAAAGGCAATTATATGAGTGGTTTCTTTATTGGGGCCGGACTTAAAAAAAGAATCACAATATATTAAGCTGTAACAGCAGCTCAGACATATGGGCCAGGGGAGTAAGAAGCTAATCCTGCTCTGCTACCTAACAAGGTGACCTCCTTTCTAGGACACAAGGTCTTTCTGCCGTTTGAAAACACTATTCTAGCATTGTACTTAATGCAATGTCCACACAAGCCCATACAGAAAAAAAACCCTGAAGTAAATAGTAAATAGTTCAGAGGAACGGCTCTGTAATAATTAGGTAAACCAAACAAAGCCTACAACAACACAGGCAAAATAGCAAACCCTTCATATTTTCATTTATATTACTTCACAAACCAAACCTAAAATAGCCAAACGTTGAGTAAAGCTGTATTTTAAGTGTTCATTGTATATAGCTTTATGATAAGATTGTCTTTGATAGTGCAACACACCACACCTTCTTTACACTTCAAAGCAGCTTAGTGTAACAACATAAACCTGACATCTACATCTTATGTAATACCTATGGTGGTTAAGAACAACAGAAGGTAAAAATGCAATTGATGTTGCAGAAAGAAGCATTGAGGGGTAAGGTATCTGGAAAAGATGTATTAATATAAATCTCATCATTATTCAACTATGTAGTAACTACCTTAGTGCTACAGTAGTTACTGTTTAAAGGCCACACTATTCAAAGCTGAGATTTTCAACCCAGAGGCAAGGTGCAAGTATCTTGGCAGTTCATGTAACAGAAGGAGATTGTGAAGGTCAGCCATTTTAATATTGCGATCTTAAAAAGAGATTCATGAGATTAAATTACAAGGTTGCTGTATTATGACAGTTCTATTAGAAACACTATAAAAATCATTAGGATGCCCACAAATCTCTTGTGGAAATTGATTACAGTATCATACAAGAAGTATCAAAAGTATAACAAAGTTATCACGGTGTTCATATATTTGAGTCACTCCAAAAAGTGCAAGCAATGTGAAAGACCTAAAGAAAGCATGTTGTGCAAATAACCACTCTGCCAACTGTCAGATTTTGAAATGTCATGCAAGCCTTCAAGGGTGAAATAACGATGAACCTGTTGCAAGCTAAAAGGTACCCCCCCTGTTTCTATACCGTACGAGAGTTTGAAATAAGTAATCCAGATAGCTTCTAGTAATGATTACACAGCAAATGTGTCGGGACTGTCAGGTTTATATTATTCAAATACTTAATGCCATACAGCCATGACCTCTGTATTTGACCTTTGATTTAGGAACCAGAGTATAGCAACAACTTAAAATCGAAATAATGAAATAATACCTTTTTCTCATTATGCCCTTTCTTACACCAGACTGCAGAGGAAGCAAGATAATTGTGTTCAAAAGGTAAAGTATCATTTTCGGATTATGCCTCACTCTTTCCTCCCTCACTCATTTCCTGTATGAGAGCTTGGTAACAACTGAGGACACATGCAGATACTAGCACATGTTGAAAACACAGCACATGAACTATCACAATGAGATGGAGAGAGATAACAGTTAACTGGTGCAAACGCACTTGAGTTGCACATTTAAAAAATGCACTTCAGGAATGCACAACTGCTACTACTGCTGCTTTTGTTCGGTTGTGTCTTGTCATGTTTTCCGTGTGGCATAATGGACTGGGGTTATTGGATTTCGTTGTATTGCATCATGACAGTTAATTATCCTTGAATCAACTCGCTTTATGAAAAAGCCCACCACAAAGTGTTGTCTTGTGTTTCTAAATCTCCACACACGTTTTTATTATATAGTTATACCAATTGAAGGAGCTGTGTGAAGGATTTGGTTATGTCCTCTACATTATATTCAATTTCTGCCAATAGCCAATAGATCTTTCTAAATCTAACACAGTGTACCTTTAAGGAAAGTGTTGATTTATGAATTTCGAGCAGGTGTGCCTATGATCATGGCCTTCAGGCATATCTGGAAGGTTACAACTGTGGCAGAGACATGTTTTTTTCTCTGCTATCCCTGCTACCAGCCCTTTAGTCTGGTGGCAATTTGTACTTTTTCATGGTTCACCTAAACTCAAGGATATCGGACAAACAAGAAAGTGTTATGGCATCACAATCTAGTATTGCTCAAACAGCCCTGGTACAGTAGGTCCTCTACTTACTGTGGGTGTCCTGGTTGTTTTTGGATCATTCAATTTTATCACATTTTTATTTAAACTTTCCAGATTAGGCTCTCCAAAAGCACCACTATAACACATTATTTTATTCTACATTAAAAAAAGGACCACTAAGTTATTTGAAGCTGGTTAATGAGCCAGCAGAGGTGGATTACCCTGGCAGGTGAGAGGCAATGGAGGAGCCTACATTCCTCCTGACACTTGGTCGTGTTGTGACAGAGCCCTGCACTGAGGAGGAGGCAGTGGGGCAGGGGTCCTCAAGAAGAAATGCTGCAACACTGCTGGGGCTACGCTGCTAATTATAAGGCAACTGAATGAGAACACTAGAGAGACAAACACTGCGTCTGTCTGTGAGCTGTTTGCTCATTATAGCGAGCAAACACAAACTTGTCATCAGTGCGGCTACAGTGGAGAAGGTAAAAAAAAACGGTGCAGCTGTCTTCTAGAACACGGTGACATTTGTGGATCATGTTTTTTGTAGATATGTCAACTGTAATGTTTGTACATTTGGCTCTTAATGGTTCATTATTTATGTACTTACCTGTAAGAATGCTTAGCAACAGAAAGCGTGTTTATTGTTAACAGAGAGTACCCTCATGGCTGAAGGTGAGAAAAGAAACTGAGACTATGCTTCCTTTATGTCAGATGTCTAACGTCATGCAGAATACCTGCAGAGCCTGCCAACATTTCTACACAATTACACAATAGAGGACAAGAGAGAACAGTGGGAAAATATGAGCTTTGGAAAGCAAGCCTTGTAATTACCAGTAAGTCTTAGTAAATCTGTCATAATCTTAGCTTTTTTGCCAAAAAACCCACAATAATGACTTTTCTACACCAGCTTTGAAACATGGACAATTCAACACAACAGTTTCCTTACACACGTTTTATTTGCCAAAGATGGGGGCTACAAGGTGTGATACAATACAAATGCGGACATGCCTTTTATCCAGCATAGAATATTTATTGGCTTCTCCGAATACTATACGAATTTTCTAAGCTATGTTTAATGTGGATTAAAAACCGTAATAAAACTACCTCTTCTCTCTCAGCTCTACCTTCCCTCTGCCTATTTGAGTGTGAGGGGGGAAAACAAGTGTGTGTTTCTCGCCATTGTTTACTAATGGCAGATCTGAAGTAGTGGTTAGAGGCATCATTAAATGTTTCAAAAGCATATTTGGGCATGTCCAGTCACTTTGAACATGTTTGTCTCTGGCAGTAAGCTTTAAGTATAGGCCAAGGTGGGAGGGGAGGGGGAGGGGGGGTTGAAGGTAGTGAGGTTTAGTTTGCTGCTCCTCTCCTATTTAACCCTCAACTTGGCACATTTGATAAAGATGAATATCTGCAAGTAATCGGAGCAAAAATGCCGCCAGGCTTAATCCTGTCTGGTGATAAAATGAAGACTCCAACAGTGAGTCGCTGTGCCAAGGAACACACATATCTATAAAGGAAAACAATAAATCTGTGCGTCAGAACATCATATGTGTGTGTGTAAGGACAAAGAACAAGTCCACATTAGGTGTACGTTTGCATTCTGGTACATATTGAAAGAATGCAAACCCATTTGAACCCTGTCCTGTAGATATTGTTTAAATCACTACACAGACTGATTTATGACATGTCAGACAGTGTGCAACGTCATTGAGACAGAATCTTGTTTGGTAGGAAGGGGTTCTGCTAGCACACAGTGTAATTTAGTTTAAGACGAGGGCAACTAGACGCCATCGCCTACCCATATTTGTCAGCGTTTTTCTGGCTACCAGTATGCATAGCACTTATTTACAGTACTGATAGCCCCTATACTGCTCAAATGTACAAAATGGTAAAACATATTAGTAAGTGCCAGCGGTTGGGTTGAGGGTAGGACTAAATACAAAGGCATTTAATTACTTCATAAATTCATAAAAACTCTAATGGTGCTCAATCAACATTAGTTAGGGATCGTTCCCGCAGGTTAACAGTGTAACTGTTTGAATGAAGCTTAGGCACATCTCATTGAAAAGTGTGCTGTGTTGTTTTATGCACAGTAGACAATAGTCCACTACAAGATGTCCGCACTGCTCCTTAACCCACGACCATGCCCTGACACCGTCTGTCTATAATAGAGACACAAATATGCATGAGTGGGGAGAAGTTCTGACAGAGGGTCAGAGTCTTCCTTGTGATTCACCCTATTAGAGGTCTCCTATGTTGCTCACTGAATCCTTCATCCCTTCGCAGGCTTGCATGACACTGCACTTCGGCTCCCAGTGGCGTTATTTCAGCAGAGGACAAATAGTGACTCCGTCCATAAATAACTTACCAAGGTAAGCACTTCACAAAATAGCAACAAATGCACACCGCATATTTTATACACTTTTCAATTCCCTGACCATTCATTCTCAAACACATGGGACTAATGTCTTTGATGATTATTTTAAGACCACCAAACATGTAAGAAGCTTTCAGAGAAGATGTAGAAAATGTGAGCACATGCTGGTAATCATTAACTGCTGCTCATTTCATCTCATTTTAAGTTGTGCCCAGGTCATGCCTTCCTCCTTAGCCGTTCCTGGTTTCCTTTCTAGCCTGGTTGAAATGCCCTTGACTTCATAAACTCTTGACATCCGGTCTCTCACCCAGCCTGAGCTTGTGTAATAAGTGCCTATGGTCACCCCGTCCTCAGAAAGAATGAGCAAACTGCTTCCATCAATCCGTCTGCTTTAATCTGCTTAAAAGACCTTATCTTGGACATTCCCACACAGACAAGATTATGGTTTTATGCCAAAGGGTACAGAGAAAGGCACTAATCAGTGGGAGTCTGACTTTTCTTGCTTTCAGCTCTGCTCTTACTCGTATTATACATTTAACAATATATAAAACATGTTCAATATATTTAAATTGCAACAATAGCAAGGTAAAAAATGATTTACTTTTAAATGTGTGCTAAACTGAGTGCAAAACATGCTTTAAATTACAGTTAGCAAAGACTAATTAAAGGATGACTCAAGTGTTCATTATAATGTCAGTGATCAGATAACCACATTGTGGTAGATGTGTATGTATGAATATGTATGTATGTCTACAGTAGAGATGTAGAGATATACATTTGATTTGATCAGGGTACTTACTAAGGCATATGTATTAGTTTTAGTCTGTTATTTGTTTTAATGAACAATTCATCACGTACAGTCGGGAGAAAATACTTTGAAAAAAAGCTTTGTGGTAAGTGGTTACTATTCTGTATTGACACCATTAGGTGGTTTAGCTAAGAGTCAACTACGGTTGTTGAGCGTGACATAAAATGGATGTCATATGCAAATCAAACAATGAAAAAAAGGTCTACGCCTGTTGTATGTGATGTCTTGTATTCATAAACTTGAGTGTATTTGATTGATTGATGTGCAAAGAACTTTAGCTATTTCAGAGAGTCCTAATGGTCAACCCTCATGTTTATCTTTGTGTATTATATAATTAAGGTTACAATATCTACTACTCCTTCAAAGTCAACAGCAGCCTTAGTTATATAAAAACGGTATAAAGTAAGAAGCAGTTTAGAAAAAACTATAGCCATAGGATATCATCTGACATCTGGCTGCATGTCAAATCATTGAGTACAAATATTATTTCACTCATATTTTACATATCTCTGCAGCAAATGGGAAATGTACTCTCAGTGTATTACTACATATTACACATGTCTATAGAATTTAACCAGACATGCCTGCATATCATTAGACAAAGTGTGCAAAACAAAGTGAGAACAATGGCACTTGTGATGCACATGCTTTGACATTTCTCTCTAAAAAAGCGGAAGTGCCCTTCCTTTGCTTATGACTTTGAAAGTAGGCCTGCGGTAAAACCGACGCCTTGCCACATGTGGCATGAGTTATTTGAACACATTTAACAGTTTGTGGTCACTAGTATAGAAAGACACTGTGTTTGGCCTAACTTTGTTCTTAAAATGACAAAACAGACAGGAGGAATCTGATAGAGACCTCTCTTAAAGATATGTCGTTCTTCTATATTGGCAGTGAAGGTACTGAACCCTTCAGGTCATGCTCCTCTGTGCCATCTGCAGCTGTGGTTGATAATGGAAAAGATAGGGGAGGAGGGGACGGGCCAAGGCCAATCCCATGAGAAACGAGACAGAAACAGACACCTCACAGCCATAACATCTGGACACAGAAAGTGTGTGAAATGTCAACAGGACAATAAATGTCCTAAAGCCCCCAAAACACTATCCAGTTACCCCTTTCAAGAAGGAAACTGTCAATATTGGTAAAACTGTACAAACAAAAAAGGCATTGTGTGTGTGTGTGTGTGTGTGTGTGTGTGTGTGTGTGTGTGTGTGTGTGTGTGTGTGTGTGTGTGTGTGTGTGTGTGTGTGTGTGTGTGTGTGTGTACGTATAGTGAACCCTCACCAGTGTAATGTGACTCTGAGTTACAGCTGGAGGCCACCAGAGTCAGAGCTTTCACTAGGAGTGTTAGAAATATTAAGTTGCAACATTCAATTCATAGTAGGCCACTGGACCTTGAAACCTTACCCAAATTTGACATTGATCCCTTTCAATGTCAATTCAAATTCTTTAATAAAGTATAAAAACAAAACATTCCTGATCTAGACAGCAGAGCATTCAATGAGAAAGAATAAAAATAGCTAGCATCACTTCTTAGTTGTGACTTTAGAGACCAAGATTTCAGATGGACATAAAGGAAAGAAGGACTGTTGACTTTGACATTTCTGAATGTGTCAAAGTACGCACCATTTTCATAAAGCATACTGCTAATGCCTGCCGAGTGACTCAAACAAATTAGAGTCCAAAGCAGTTGACTCAAGAGGGTGCGGGTATCCGGACGGTGACCCTGTAGTCTAACATAACCCACTGTATTTATTTATTAACTAGGACATCAAACAAAACTGATAATGTATTTATCTTGGCACCAAGATCAATAACCGGAATTATTAGGAAGTATTAGGCAATAGGAAGGCATTTTTTTTTAACTCACGAGGCACCATAAGATTACATAATAGTGTGGATAGTGTGATTTGGGAAACTAGAGCCAAGGTTTTGAAAAATATGTTTCGTCTCTTTATATTATTCTAAGGGTTAAACTATGACGTTATTATGGGTTGAAAAAAACAGAGGCTATAAAAAAACTAAAAGCAAATGTCCCTCCATCTGTCAATAAAGACTGTTTGAATCTCCCGGAGATGACGGTTTTTCCTCCTCTCAGTTCAATATAACCATGTGCCTCAGTGTTCCATTAAACCTTTCCCCCTTGGCCTTAGTTATTTAGTTACCTATCATTCACCACTGAGTCAGACAATGCTAGTGTGTTCAGTGCATTCATTAATGGTAGCAGTCTGTAAAATAAGTCTTTACCAAGTTCCAGGCACGAAACATAAATGAGATTTTTTATTTTTTTTATATTTTCTCCTCAAGTCCCTCTGTTAAGATGCTAGAATGGAAATCAAATGAATGTTTGAGAAGTTGGTAACCGCTGACCTTGTACTTACTGCTTGTAAGTGGAAACATATTTAAACTGAAAGTAAACAATGTATGGTTTTTTGTGAATGCTTTGCTGTGTGAATGGGACAACAAACATGCATTTTCTGTAGCATCAGCATACATCGTGGTTTAACATAGTGGGGCAGAGAGGGAGTGACAAAGAATGAGCCTCAAGGGTAGTCAAACTGGAAATACAAGTGGGTGTTGCCAAAATGTGTTTGTGTCTGTCTGAGTGTGTGCGCGTGAGTATATTTACAGCAAACTCCATCCAGAACATAACCATGCACAGAGATGAAACACAAAGTATGTAATCACTCATCGAAAATTCCCCATCTTTAAGATAGTATTCATAAATACAGTTTTGTTTTTGAATGAACCTCATTTCATCATATTCTTGTTTGAGGGAAGTGGGAATATCTCTTGTCAGCGTAAATTTAGTGACTGATCTCTGACCCCCATAATTACACAATGAGTTAAAGGTTTCCTTGCCTGACAAGTTGGAAAAGACGTGGAGGCATGTACTCGCAGCTTCTTTGAGTGTGAGATTGCCCAGCTGAGTGTGACAGTGTTGTGAATCTTGTATTTTCTAAGTAATAAAAGATGGATATTATCTCTACTCAAGAGCTTGTCACTGTGAAGGTGTAGACATATTTGTATCCATCACTTCACATTTACTCAGACATATGTATACATGCCCTTTAGCAGACTAATCCTCCGTGGCAATGAAGATATTAGTAAAATTGGAGGTAAAATAAGAATGTCAAACATGCAGAGAGAATAGACATGCCCCTCAAGTAAACCCTAAGATGAGCTCTCCTTTCCAGACAGCAACCAGGGAGGGACCGGAAACTAGCAAAACACTATGATCTTCATGCACACTAGCACCAACTGGTAGTTTAATAAACTATTGCCCTACACCAATACCTTATCTCATGGGCAGTGACCAATGGGTCTAAAGCTCACAGGAACAGGCCACATAGTAATAGAGTCTAACAGATACATGTGTTGATCAAACAAAAACCTTGACCAAGTAAAAAAGGTTTTCTCCATATTGTTTTTCAATTTTAACACCAGCATTTTAGCCAAGAAACAGAGGGGTGAGTTACAAGATTCCCTTACAATTAATCGCGGGGTTGCACTTTAGTTACCACATCATTTCCTAAGTCCTATGTTACAACCAGTGGTCTCTGTGATTCCTGTTTGCAGGACCTCACAGGCTTTAGCCAGAGACAGAGCGGTTCATTGTAATAAGATAAGGAAAGGACAGGTGGCCCAGTGATCAGGTGCCAGACTGCCTGCTTTAGAGCTGAGCTGAAGCCTAGTGTTTGTCTGCTACGGCTCTCTTAGATTCTCTCCACAGTAAGCACTACAATAACGCAGAATTGAGAGAGGAGTCTGGTCAACCTCTCACAGGTAATGAATCACGTGAGAAAAATGTTGAGTTATTGCTGGAGACTCACTAGCACTAGCAAAATGGTCAAAATGTAATATATATCCGATGTTAGCACACAGCAGGATATTTTTAAAGGGTTACACCTTTCAGTCTTGGACGGTCTCAACATTAGCAACTTTTCCATAAGAGAAACACCAAATATTGGATAAAAAGGTAAATACATTCCCTAATAGTAAATTGAAATTGACAGATCATCATGACTCTTACCTTGCAGTTGTTTAAACCTCCCTTCCAGGATGTTGGAATATTGCACCTGATTTACAAATGCTGCTGGGGACAAGCAGGGCTCTCTGTCCCTGCGTTCATACTCCATGGCTTTTTTTCTGGATCTCTCTCCTAAGTATTCCTCTCAGATACAGAGTGAATGGGAGTTCTCCTGCATAGCACAGCAAAAGCGACCTTTCCCTCTCAAAAAATATAGACTCCTTAAGAGGGTTTTCCAGAAAATAAAAGTTTTGTATATCCAAAATGCCTTGGTTTGTCCTCCTGTTTTTGATTCCCTCAATGCTGTGCCTCAAGCACAACTCAAGCTTGAAAATGTTGCCGCCTGTTCTTCTCTTCTTCTACTGTAGGTCCCACCTTGTCCAATGAAAATACAGCAGTGTAACGGTGGAGGGGTTTTTCTAAAGAATCATTTAAAACAAAATGTTCTCTTGTTTCACCTCCTCCTGTGAAGAATTTCACCACATTTGTGGCCTCTACGCAAAGTAAAAACGTCTGGTTACACTCCCTTGTGGTTCAAGGCTGGCTATCCCTTCCCTCCAAACTCTGAACATGCATTTGCTGGAGCAGAGCAGGCTAACCGGCCGCGGTCGGATAGCTGTGTAAACAAAGCCTGCTGTGCTGTCTGAAAACTGTGTCATTTGCACAAGGTGTGTTTGAGGGAGGAGCACAGAGGAGGAACACAGTGCTGAAGTGGAGAGGGAGGCGGTGTGGAGGTGGACTAAACCATTAGAAGTCTTTGCCCAGTGTAGCTTGAGGCGGATTATGTAACGCCACCTTAATTCCAGAGAGCAGCGGGGTGTGGCCTGCCAAGAAGGTACATCACGAAAGGATCCATCCTCTTATCCTGCTGTCTTGCTATGTGGTTCTCATTTCTATCACTCTCTAACACAAGATTCAATTTGCCTTGTTCTGTTTGCGGGCTCTGCCTGTGATAAGGCGTTAAGACAGGAAGGAAGTTGTTCCGAGTATCTCAGCAACACGACAAGCTCCTTCCTGTCTGAACAAGATTTAAAATGATGAACTTGTGTGTCTGTTTGTCAACCAGATGGTTAGGCAGGAGTGGGGGTGGAAGTGAGTCATAAGTCCTGTCTAAAACAATTATAAAACTACACTTAATTAACACATTTTATGTCAAACTAGATTATAGATAACTATTCAAATGATTAATGGCTTAACTTGGAAGGAAACAATGTTTCTTATTTAATTTGATTTCCCACTGTCAACTTAAGCGTGTCTTGCATGCAAACACTGGAAGAAAATACACTTTTGTATATTTTTGTGGCTGTGCTCCACTCTGCAACACCAATAATAAAGCAGCATTTATTTAAAATCTGTGCAATATTCACCAAAAATGATGTCAGAAACTATGCATTAAAAGAGACTTCTAAATATATTTTGAAAGTTGAATAGCTATCCAGTTGAAGGTCGTTGCTGCTGCTAACGCCCTTAAAAGTGCCACAGTAAAGGTTACACATGCAATAATTGCCTGTGTGTGAAAAAATTACACAACACTGTAAACACTGTGAGGACTAAGGTCACCACTTTTCTTGCAAAAGTTGGCTTTTGGTCTGGTCAGGGGGCAGTGGTAAAAATGTGTGGTTCTTTTTATCTGTGCTTGTCCTGATGAGCCGGCAGCATCTGGATGGATCTCATTAAAGGACCAAATGCCCCCGGCCTTCTGCGCATGGGTGTTTATGGAGGGGGGACTGGACTAATGAGATCCAAAGCAAACACACTTCCTTCTGGGGATCACAAGCAGTGGTCACATGCAGTGAGAAATGAGAAGCAGAGACATGGTAAACTGGAAATGTCCGTTTAGGATCCCATTGGGCATATTTGAAACACACAATCCCAATTACCACGAGACGCAGATGTGATGGCAGATTTGCGCGTCTGGCAAAAGCATCCGAAAATATTAGGTTCAGACCTATCTATACAACTCATCAGTCATGTGGATAAACTATTAAATAAACACTCTGGATAATATTAATAGTTATTTTCTTAATCTTGTAAAATATGACAACAAACATTGAGAACGTCTGCCAAATGGAGATGTGGGAGCAGCTCATGCATTGAGCAAACTGGATTTAATGATAATTAAGGATGTTCTGGTGTGGTGAATGAACGCAGATGAGGAACAGGGAAAGATAGAAGCTGCAGGGGAGTAAGCAGAGATCTATTGCTGAGCATGTACATTTTATCCATCCAACAGGGATGGATAAAATGTCCTGGAGGGACACGGGGGAGGGGGGAAGGTTGGACCATACTCAACTAAATATCTGATCTGAAGGGGGATCCCCCTGGAGCTAGAAGGCTTGATTTCTTAGGATGAAGTCCTACAAAATGTATAAAAAATGTGGCCCAATGTGAGACAGTGAATAGAAATGTTCGTCTATTATTCATGCTTCTGTGTAGTTTTTCTTCATTATGTATGCATCGTATATAAGCATAGTCTGTGTATTAGAACTGGTTGGATTCCAGATTTAACTGACTTGTCCTATCCATGATAATGATGTGGATATGTAATGAAGAGTAGTGTTACAAAAGGAACATGGATGCTTTCAAAGTACTCTTGCTCTGCTACTGTGTAAGCTCTCACAAGTAAGTACAAGCTAGGCGTTGCTTAACAAAATGCAAATGTTCACTGCTTTCCCTGCTACCACACACAGTATAGGAGAGTAGATAGGTGGTTATTTAAGCAAATTACAATTATCTTTAACACAGGACTAGCTTTCTACTGTGAAACGAGCTTCAGCCGCTGCTGTCACACCAGCAGTCAAATTAATCTAACAGACTGTCATTTCACAGAGAGAATATTTGTGAGATACTGTGAGAGATTGAAGCACAAGTAGGCAGCAGCTTACAGACTGCTGAAGGGCTTGACATTTGTGAGAAGTTGTTTAAGGTAGGCAGGAGTTATGCCTGGGGGACAAAGCTGCTACAGCATGTCAGAGAATGTGCACTTCAAGTCCACACTTGTCAAACGGAGATGGTATCACAGGTATTCACTCACGCACACACACAGTCTACTCTGGTCATACTGGTACAATCAGTATTAGAGCCGTCTGTTGCTTTCCATAATTATATGGTAGCAAGATACAGTACATCATTAAATACAGTACAAAAAACGACCAGGCAACACTCAAGGGTGTTACATGTTGGCATGAGGGAATAAGTGAGGTCATATTTGTAAGTAAAGTTAGGTTTATCTAACTTTACTTACAGCCACTGTGTGTGTGTGTGTGTGTGTGTGTGTGTGTGTGTGTGTGTGTGTGTGTGTGTGTGTGTGTGTGTGTGTGTGTGTGTCTGCCTGTTGCTCCCCTCTGCTGGGGTCTGTATGACACTGCAACTTGTTTTGACTATTAATAGAGATTGTATCTGTAACATGTGAAACTAGGAAGGTGCACTGTGGTTAGATAAACACAAATGAACACTCATGGAGCCGTCAGGAGTTTCACCTGGATCAAACCAGTGGAAGCCTCCAATAGGATAGGCTGCACGAGATAACAGACTAAAACATTGAACATTGTAGATCTTGCATTTATGTTTAATTGTGGGTATATTGATGGAGAATTTTAAAGAGACCTATTATAGACCTAAAGTCTATTCTCATCACCTTATTCCCTCACAGCGTATTGCTCTGTGGTGAATTGACTATCTAGCTGCGTGGCTTTGTCCTCCTTTTGGAAGTATTTCTGTCTTGCCCTACAAAGACATAATTGTGCCTTTTGGGACAGAGAATAATACAGTTGGTTCCTCAGTCTACAAAGCCTTATTAGATCTGTGCACATACAGTAACAGTTAGTTTGTAATTATTGCAAATGTTATATTTTTTGTTGCATATTTGAAACTTTAACTTTAAAAAAGCATACTGGCCTAAATATAAAACATTGTACAATTTAAATGATTTTAAAAAATAAACACGATTCCAAAAGGATTTCCAAAAAATACAAAGTCATCATCCTATAATGTAGAATTATGATGATTCATTTGTATGGTCAAATAGTAATATTAATTTGTTAAAAAATAATTACTGAATTTTGTTTAAATGTTTCTTTGCATTTGATATTGTACTTGCCTTTTGGTGTTAGTATTTGAAATGTCATCACAACATTCACATCATTCTGTTTGGCTCATTAAGATTTAATAGAGCATGCAATGCAATTTGTCCATCAGTCATAGTTCGATAATACATTTCATTTGCTACTTTAATTGTTCAGCTCATGGTAACTTTGCAGGAGAGACTGTTATTCATTACTCAAATGATGAAATAAAATCAATTTTCAAACATAATTTGATAAGGATAACTTCTGTCATTTATGTCGTACAATGTTCACAACTGTGACAAATGACAAATGCCCCAAAACAGAACTTGTCAATCATCCTCACACACCTACACACAGAGGTGCATGTTGACACCTTGCAAACGTCTACGTTCGTCGGGCCTGAAGTGTAGCATACCTGCGAGAGCCTTGATGCGTGAGCGCTCGAAGAGTCGTGCTGAACTGTTCTCATTATCCCAGTCAGTCTCTGCTGCCAGGTCCCAGCGGTTGTTGATGTCATTGTACTGCTGCTGGATCTCCAAGCTGTCAAAATCCGTCGGCGAGATGGTGCTCATGGTGTCCAGGCTGGAGGAAAACACATTCAACCTACAATTCAGACACAGAGACACAAATGCATCCAAGGTCAGTGCATACAGAGATGAGTGGACATTGTGTGAGATGAGAAGTTTCTGAGAATCTATTTCTATTTCATCCAAGGCAAGATGATGCAATGAAACATATATCACCCACACTCTGCTCAAAGCCTCACAGCTGCACTCAAGTTGTATGTGCTCAAATGAGAGTCATATGCAAATAACAGCTTAGACACTGCAACTGCCAGTGTGTCTTTGAGATAAGTTCAGCAGCTGTCATGAAGTTTTTCAGTAAACCAACCAATAATTGAATATATCAGCTCCTGTAAGCTAAGGTAAAATCCCCAGACAATCGCTTGCCATAATATCGATATTATGTAAAGGTATCATCCAGCTGTGCTTTGGTGATGTACTGCTTGTGGCATAGGTGTTCATCAATGTGCACGGCACATGTTGGATAAATAGTGTAGACTAGAGTATAATACTATCAGATTCTTGCACTTTAATTTTCAGTCCCTGTCCTTGCACTCACTGCTAGCCATGCACGACCCTCCTATCCTGCTGTTTGTACTTACTCAGCATCAGGATTTAATAGCAGGACCCTCATATGGCAACAATCGATATTTCATAAACACGGAGGTCAGTCCCACCCCTTTTCTCCTACGGCCTGAGTCTCTGTATTTTGATGACGTATACAATGCATCCCGTCCTTATTGTGTCCTCATAAAATGTCCTCAAAAGACACCCAATGGGTGGTCTACATTAAGATTAAACCCCCCATCAGTGACATCCATTAAATGTACTGGGGCCATTTGTTTAAGAGCATTGAGAGAGATTAATAGACAATGTTGCATAGTCTGTTTGCTAATACCTGTTAGTTTATCTTTTGTTGTGTCTAGTAGCTTTAGCTGACTTTTATGAGATGATGAGAGAGACAGAGGATGGTGGTAGAAACATCTGGTGTTTTGTGAGGACTGATAACAAAAAATGCAGGCAAA